AAAAAAAAAAATCAATAGTCTTCCTGTACATGAATAACAAACTCATTGAGAGAGAAATTAGGGAAATAGCACTTTCATAATAGCATTCAAAAAAATGAATGTGGGGCGTGGTGGTGTATGCCTGTAATCCCAGCATTCAGAAGGCTGAGGCCAGAGGATTGCTGTGAGTTCGAGACCAGCCTGGGCTACAAAGTGAGCTCAAGGCCAGCCTGAACTGCATAGCAAGATCATGTCTCAAAAGGACAAAAAAAAAAAAAAAAAAGAAATACTTAGCAAGCATTCTAATGAAGGAAGTATTGTATTATAAACTGTGCTGCTAAGATTCTATCACACTCCAGAAAGAATGGCTATTATCAAGAAATCAACCAAAAACAAATGCTGGCAGGACCGTGAGGAAAAAGGAACTCTTCTCCACTGTTGGTGGGAGTGAAGACTGGTGCAATCACTATGGAAATCAGTATGGAGATTCCTCAAAAAGCTAGGATTAGAGGCCCCATTTGACTCAGCTATTCCCTTCTGGGTATATGCCCGAAAGAATTAAAAATATCATACCACAACAATATATGCACACCCATGCTTATAGCAGCACAGTTTGTAATAGCTAAATCTTGGAAACAACCCAGATGCTCATCAACTGAATAATGGATAAAGAAGATGTGTTTTTTTTTATACAATGAAGCACTACTCTGCCATAAAGAAGGATAAATCTGATACATTTCTAGCTAAATGGATGCACCTTGAGACCATACTCTTAAGTGAAATGAATCAGACTCACTGCGTTGTTCCTCTCATGTGAGAAACTGAAAGTGTAAATAAGTTCCAAGATTTATAATAGATATTAGGAAATGAGAAGAAAATGTTCAAATGATTAGGGAAACAAGGAAAGGGGATGGGGAAAGGAAGGAAGGGACAAGAAAAAAGAAAAGAAGAAAAGAAATGGAAACAAAGCTTTTGTAAATAAGAAAAGGGAATGAAAGGAGGGGCAGGGAACAGGAAAAAAAAGAAGCAGGATATATTATGTACAGGTACAAATTCCCTATGATGAATGTTATCTAAAATGTAACCATAACACTTTAAAAAAATGAATATAACTATACAGTACCATTTCATTTCTCTAGTTTCCTTTTCTCCTGTGTGGCTTTTGTTTTCACCTGGGCTGGACTATCCCTCAGGGTCTGTGTGCTGAGGGTGTGAATGTTCTCCACCAGAACAGCGCGAGGAGCCGCCGGCGGCGCAGTCTCCTGCTCTGCTTGTCCTTCGCTGACTTTGGTGGCTGGGGGCGGGGCGGGAAGAACAGAGGAAGTGTTGTGCGATGTGTTCCTCTCCTGTGGCCATTTTGGCAAGCAACCAAGGAGTTGAAAACAGGCGGATATGAGTTAAGGAGTGTTTGAAAAACGAGGACTGTGATTGGACAGGGGGTCAAACCCTGGTCCTGTTGAGCTTGGTTCCCCACTGTTGGGAGGGGAAATAACCCTCTGTATTCGCTGCAGAGAGGGCCGGGGAGAAGGCTCTCTGCTGTTCCTTGTGCCGCCAGTGGACTGGCAGAGCTGTGGAGGACTGAAGTGAACACCCAGAGTAAGAGATGGCTAGATGGCTGACTTTCTGGGAACCTCCTGCCTCGGTGTGAAGCGCTGCCTGGCACCCGGACGCTTGCCTCCTTACCTAGCATTGTGTATCAGAAGGCCCCATTTTCTGGGCTGTCTACTCACTCACTCCTGTCTTTCTATGGCTGGGCACTGGGCCAGGGCTCTGATGTGAACTCCAGTGACCTGGAGGGAGGAGGTAGGGAGGGAAGCAGAGCATTAGACTCAAGGACCGCAAGGGGTTGAGTTGAGGAAGGAATCTGAGCCTTCACCCAGGCCAAAGACGTGCCCGTGAGCCCCGCTCTGCCCAGTCGCCAGGAGGTACTACGCTTTTATGGACAGGTGCATGTGGGGAATGTTTGTTTCCGCCTGGTGTTTCTTTTGTTTCTTAGAAAAATACTTTGGCAGGGCTGGAGATTTAGCTCAGCAGCGCAGCGCCCGCCCAGCAAGCACAAGGTCGTGAGTTCGATTCCCGGTACTGGAAAAAAAAAAGAAAAATACTTTGGCAAATTCTTTCACTTGAATTAAGGAGAAAAATGAATGGAATAAGCTTGTGTGGAACATAAGCTCTGGTAGGGATGTGGGGGATTTTCAGAGGGGCCTTTGAGACCTCAAGGGAAGCCCAGCTGGAGCAGGGCTGGGGAGGAAGGATGCAGTGGAGGCAGTGGGTTGCCCCCTGGAGGACTCCCATTCTGGTCCTTTACAAGTGGGATTCCCTGGCAAGACAATGGAACTGGTGTTACTTGCGTGTTCCAGCTTGTAGAGGGTGAGTAGGTGCAGGTTCTGCCCTCGGTAGGCAGCCAGGCAGCTGGGAAGGCAGAGGATGGGCTCGGGGCTGACATAGGCCACAGAATACCTGAGGTGCGGAAGATTTGGCAGCCCTAGACGCCTGGTCAGCAGCAAGCTCTCCAGTCGCTTCCCAACTTAACCCGGGCAGCAATCTGACCCTTCGCTCAGGATGTTAATACGAGGGCTCACTTGGGCATCTCTTTCCACACAGCCTCAGTCAGAGTAGGTGTAAATTGTCCTGACCTTGGGGAGGTATGGCTTCCCTTGACACCCAAGGTCTTGCTCCCACTCAGACGCCAGGAGGGATGTGGACCAAAGCCCAGAGCTCCAGTTTTCCCAGACTAGGTCTGTGACTACCCCAGTTTGGTTTTCTGCCGCCACAGAGTCTTGGGGGAAAAGGCATTTTGAAAAGTTTTTTGAGAGCCATTGACTTCTGAGGTGTGTTGCTCTCAACACTTTATTTCTCTTGGAAAGAATGCTGTCTAATGCTTTCTCAACAATTTTTAGAGAAAAAGATTATTTCAAGTCCAAAGATCTTGACTCCTCCTAACTAGGAAGTTCTTCCTAATTTCTCTAATTCATTCTGGGAAATTCATGTGCATTTTATTATTCTATTCTCATGGGAAAGAATTGTGAATAATTGGTAATATCCTCTCATAATTTCTTTTCACATAGTCAGAAACTTTCCTCCCTCAGCTCCCTGAGGGCCATGGCGTTCAGACTGATGTTACTGACTGTGGCCTGAGGCGTGAAGAAGGAAGTCAGACACCTTGGAGGTGTGTGTATATGCGTGTTTGTGTGTGTGTGTGTGTGTGTATGAGGGTGTGTATAAACACACAAACATGTGCCTTTATGAGTGTATGGGAAAGGAGCGTGGTGCTCTCAGAGGAACTTTGTGACGGATAAGAATGTCATCTCCTCAAAGTTCATGAAAATAAGGTCAGAAAAAATAAGAGGCACAGAAAGAGGCAACGTTTCTCTGAGATAAAGACTCTACTACCTCTGCCCGCAAGCCCCACCATTACAGTCTTGCCTTCATGGTTGTTGGTTTTAGTCCTGGCTTACTGCCTGTGTCTGCAACCCTGCTGTGGTCATTATCCCTGGTCATTTCAATGCCTGTCTTTCCAACCTCTGCACGACCTCTCACAGTCTGGTCTGCCATTGCCTTTGTCCTGTTAGCCACTGGACCCCGTGGTCATTCTCTGTACCAGCAACTGCAGGTATAGAGTTCTGATCAATTCAGAGTTATGATCTGAATTGTAAGCATCTCACCCTCTCACCACCTTTATAATAGAATCAGCTGACTATCCACAAACCCGATCTTCTCCCATCCAAAGAGTAGTTATCTTTGAAAGTACAGTAGCTGCTCCGCTGGGCACATTCCCTAGCCACCCTGCTGTAGACTAGGAAACTAGTTCTTAGCAATGGACAATGAGTAGAAGTGGTGGGAATCACTTCTGGGCTAAGGACCCTATGGAGTAAGTACTTTACGCTCCCCTTCTGCTTTCAGGACCCTTAGAAATGGCAGAGCTACCCATGAAAAATGTCTGTGTTCCTAAATTGCTGCATGGAGAACTAGACACCAAACAGGCGAGCTTGTTTCAGATCTTTGACAGTAAGATAGAAACATCTGCTGTTTTTGAGATTTGTTTCATCAACCCCACCTAACGCAATCTCTATTCCCTTAGCCTATGTCCTCTAATGCTGCAACATCAGCAATTTTTTTAGCACCATTGAGATCTTTGATCCTACCTCTTTTTCCACCTCTTATCTAGCACTTCTCCCATGTTATCATTTTCTGCCATCCAGTTCAGAGTCCATGGTCATTGTGATGTTCTCTTGCGTACTCAAATCCCTCAGTGCTCTTTCACTTTGTTGCACCCTCCTGGAATACCCAACTCTGCTTAAAGTTTCCTCCCACTCAGGGCCTGCATATGCAGACACACATGGCGTACCAAAGGGTGCCCGCTTGAACTGCATGGCCATCAGCAGTGAACGCTGCCTCCAAATGGACCCTCCCAAGTCCGTTAGACCTCCCAAGTCCTGTTCCTACATGTCCTGTTCTTCCGCGTGACTGATGCACACCCTCCTCTTCTAAAACCCCTCAATCTTCTCCCTCTTTCTCATTCTCTGATGATTTTACTAGCATACAAGACTACTTACGCTATAGTCTTTTTTTTTTTTTTTTTTTTTGTACCTGGAATCTAACTTAGGACCTTGTGCTTGCCAGGCAAGTGCTGTGTGACTGAGCTATATCCCCAGCTCTTACTCCATATTCTTAACAAGTAACCAGAAAAATCCCTAAAACCTGTACCTGATTACATCAGTCTGGACTTGAAATTTTGTACTGGTTGCCCATCTGTCTCTGAGTCCAACCCAAATCTTCGCAGTGGTCCTGTTAACTCTCTGCCCCTAATCTTAACACTGTTTCCCTTATTGGGCTCCAGCTACAGTGGTTCCAACCCATAACGTTCACCTCTGCCTCAGGGCCTTTGCACTCGTTGCACCTATGCATTGCTCCTTCACCTCTGTTAGACTGCTGCTTAAATATCACCACAGTAGTGAGACCTTCGCTGATGTCCTATTTGAAACAGCAAGCTTGCACAACTTTCTATCCCCTGCCTGTGTTATTTTTGGCATAGCATTTATCACCATATGATATGCTTTTCACTTGTTTATTTATTGTCTCTCTCCAGTAGAATATTTATTTTTGCCTAGTTTGTACATTTGTGTAACTGCTACCTAGAACATTGCCTGGCACAAAATAGGTACAAAAATAAGGATTTGTGGAAGAAGAAAGAGGGAAGAAAGGAAGGAAAGGGAGGGAAGAAGAAAGGAAAAACTTGCTCCCAGGCACAAGATTCAGCTTCCTGTGTATGCCTGGAAGAGGCAGAACAGTTCAGACTGGAAGGTAGTGGAGAGTCAGGGAAGCAATTTTGATGAAACTAGCAGTTGGGCCCTCCCTGTTCTGTCTCAGGGTCTCAGCTTCTCTATGCCAGGGATGTAGCCTCTCACTGTTTTGGAAGCTCCCCCTGCCCCTGCCAAGCAGGACACAGTGCCTCAGTGTAGTGCCGAGACAAAGACCTGGTTTCCACCTACTTGTTTAGAGATGTAAGCAGGCCTGCTCGAGTGCATGCTTCTTGTTGGCTGGTGGCAGTTTATTTTGATCTTGTGAAGTTCTCACGATCTCACATTGCCTGGCATCTTGAAGGATCTTTGGATGGACATCGAGGCTCTGTGAACCCTCTGAACTTTTTTGGTGTGTTTTTCTTGGGGCGAGAGTCTACAGTTTTCATCACATTTTCTGAGCAGCTCACAGCCATCAAAAGAGTAAGACACAGATTTAGTTCAGCCTCTCAGCTTACAGATGAAGAGCCCAGACAGGATGGATTGATTTGCTTAGGGAGTGGCAGAACTGAGCCAGGACTTGAATTCCAAGAAGCTCACAGATGCACACATACTCTACAAAGTGCTGGGCAAGGTGGCACAGGCCTGTAACCCCAGAGCCGGGAAGGTCGAGGCATGAGGATTGCTGCGGGTTTGAAGCCGGTCTGGTCTACATCGTGAGTTCAAGGTCAGCCTGAAGCACTAGCGAGACCCTGTCTCAAAAAACCTAAATCAATCAGTCAATCAATCAAAGTGTCAGAATGCCCTTGCCAGTCACCTCTGGGATACCACGCAGTTGAGCCGCTGGCTAGGGGCCCTGAGGCCTGTAGTTTACAGAGGGCTTCAGGCGGGCAGGGCTGTCAAGGACAGCTGCCTGCATCGCTGTTATGCCCTGCGACTGAGAGCAGGGTCTGGGTGAGATGAACGCCTGCCCCCAGGGCTTTGTGGAGCCCAGGAGAGAGAGGTGGGGAGTCAGCAGGCCTGGTTTCACTCCCTCTCTGTCCACAATCTATTCTCTGCTCATTTTAGAGGAAGAAACATATTCTACCTCAATCACCTCCGCTGGATATGTTCACAGTGACTTCTGTTCCTCCCACCTCTTCTTCAGATAGGATGAACTTTACCGACTCTCTCCCCTTGGCATCCTGGTGACTTCTGAAATCCCAATATCTTCTATTAAGACGACCAAAGGTAGTGAGCTTTTCCACATCACCCTATTTGGAGATAGAATTCTTGGCTTTTGCCCTTGACTTGGGAATATTATCTATTCATGTTTTGGTTTAGTCTCTTCCAAGGCACTTTGCATTATCTCAGCTATCCTTTCAACTACCCTACCAGGTAGATGTTTACCAAGCGCTATTTTACAGAAAGGAAATTGAGACTGAGCAGTTCACTGATTTGTAAGGGGTCACAGAGCTGCTAGAGGCAGCCCTGGGAGTGGAACCCAGACTGTAGCCTCGAAGTCCGGAGCTTCTCTTTTTCTCCTGTGTCTTCCTACCCTGGGAATCCATTGGTCTCTTGTTTGTGGTCTTTGCATGGTTTACACTTAAAACTTCAACAGCTGAAAGCTGGGACTTTCAGCGGCTCTATTAGACATTTAATAAAGCCCTGTGGCTGCTTCTGAAGATTATAAAACAGGAGAGAAGAGCTGGCTGCCCTCTCTCTCCCTGGTATGCTGTGTCAGGTGCAGCAGGAGACTTACCTGGGCTTGGCTCCCAGGGGCTTTCAGGTGAGCTACAAGGGGCCCTGGCCAGGACAATTAGGGCTGAGAGTGGCAGCAGGGCAGCATGGGGTTGGAAGAGGCACCAAGCACCTTCTGGCTTCAGAATGAGACCACCATGACAGGCCACCATGAAGGGGATATCTAGCTCGTCCCAGAAGGGCGCCACTTCCACAGTCCTCCAACACTGAGGGGCCAGGATTTCCACGGGAGCCAGTGGAGGTGCTGGAGTGGGTCCTGACGCCTGCACACCGCCCAGGGGGCAGCTGAGTGTCACTGCTGCTTGACAGTTTCCCAGTGCCAACAGCTTTTGAGTCCCCTTTCTCCTACTGCAGACAGCCCATATCTCACCCTTTGTTTCCTTCCTGACTAGTCATTAGTATAGCAGGTCTTCCCAGCCCCATGACACGCATCTTTTAAAGGTAAAAATATAAACACATCATTTTTAGTCACCGTAAAGTACCACAAACGCCATTCACTGACTCTTAGCTAAAACACAGCAAAGACACCTGGGCAGCAAGAATTCAAGGAATAGGTTGGGGTCTCCAGAGAATGAGCCTGTATCCTAAGTACAGACCCCATGAACAAGTTAAGCTTTGTAAAACCTGAGGCATAGGTAGGGCAGTAGGGAAGTCCTCCACAACTCCCACCCCGCTGGCCTCCGCCCCTCACCCACAGCCAAGAGTCACCTTCCACAGGAGGCAGGAGCTGGGAAGTAGGGCCACACACCCTCTGCTGAGGTGAAGCCTGGGGTCCTTCAGCACCGGCTGGGCTGGCTTCTTCCACCTTCAGCTTGGAGCCTAAGGCCACCTCCGGAGTTGTGGCTGACTCCATGCTGGGCCAACCCAGAGGCTGGGCTCCAGCAGAAGATTGTCACTGTTGGTGGCGAGGGAGGGGCTGAGCACCTGCTATGTAGACTGGCCTCTGGGGTCCCAGCCACTGGCTTGTGCAAGTGGGCTGGCCTTTCTCCACCTACCTACCCCCAGCAGAAGGGTGAAGTATGGGTTAGGGGAAGAGAGGAGGATCAGAGAGGAGCCCAGAATAGCCACAGGAGGAGGGATGAGGCGGCTCTGTTATCTTGGGAGAGAGATGACACCCCTCGCAGCATCGGGGAGGGAGGAGAGAGCTTGAGCACAGACCATACAAAAGGGACCTCTGGCTTCTGTTGCGAGGATTGGGTGACATCTCGGCTCCTGACCTCTGGCTTATCCTGCAAGACATTCAAGTCCCAAGATCCGCTGATTCGCAGACACACCTTTAGCTGCTCCCACTTGAGAGAAGTCTACTTTGACCTTCAGGACCTGCCTCAGCTCCTCTGCCCATTCTTTGCAACACGCCCCCTCAAAGGTAGTGGCCTGCAGTGGTGGGTGGAGTCTGCACTCTGCAGTCAAGACCACCCAGACTCTGTAGGGCTTTGTGACCCCCTGCCTGTGAGGCTCGCTACACACCGGTCTCTCCCCTCTCATGCTGGAGGTGGAATGCAGCACGCTAGGCAAGTGCTAGACTACTGCGCTGTATCCCCAGCCCTCGGTCTTGTAAGCCTGTATTTTCATCTCTAAAATGGAGATAATAATAATCATAGGGTTGTGGTGAGGATTAGAGGAGGTAATCTCTATAAAGTGCTCGGCAGAGTGTAGCCAACAAAGTGCGTGATAACAGAAGCTATTTTTAGGTCAGGCCACCATTTCCCCCTTTGAAAGCTGCATCTCCCTTCCTGAGATACAGCATGAGGTGGGAGGCAGGGAGGCAGGGAGGAGCGCTCTGCGGAGGGACCTGTCACTTCTGGCTGTACCACTCAGTCACCAGTTGGTGGCTCTGAGCCACAGGTCTGTGGATCAAGGGACACTGATGTCATGTTTGTATCATGATAAAATGCAGGAAGGTGGCCAGCACATAAGAGGAGCTGGTTGTGCACTAAAGGTCCTGTACGGTTTCCCAGCGTACCCAGCCCTCGCTCCACGCGTCATATACTCCATCCGAACTACTCCGCTTCCTGTCATACTCCCACTTTCCTGTCTCCAGAAGTCGGCATCTCCTCTGTATTTTTTTTTTTTAAATATACTTTATTTTTAGAGCAGTTTTAGGGTCACAGCAAAGTCGAGTGGACACAGAGTTCCCATATTCCCCTCCCCCACATTTTTTCCCTGGGGGGAAAAATCAGTGTTGTGGAATGAATGGCTCCTTATTTTAGCTCCTAACTTGGGGTGGTTGGTGCATTCCTGAAGCCCTGGCTATTACCTTGCAGTGACCGATTCTCAGTCCTGTGTAATCTGTAGAGGGTCTTCGGTCCAGGACAACCTATAGATACACTACAGGGGCAGGAACCTGTTTGTTAGGCCCTGGGACAGCTGGAGAGTGCAGCTGAGAAGACTAATCTCTGGGTCTGGTTTGATTGGTAAAAAGCTAGACTTACGTCCTCCCAGAACTAGTGTAAACGTCTTCTTGACCTATTTCTCCTCTGACCCAGCCAAATCCCCTAGAAGTATGAGACACTGTCACATTAGGGGATCCCCTTATACTACACTCGACTGTTTTGGTGAGAAAATTGGATTGGCTGAGGCTTTCAGTCTTGATCTTTGTTGCAAGGAAGGTAAGATGCAGATTTCTTTGGTCTGCTCATTAGAAAGTCTTAATTCAATACGTCTGGGGTAGAATTGAGGAACCTGCACTTTTAAGAAAGCAGCCTGTTGGTTCTGAACATTGTAACTAAGGTTATGAATGTTATGTTAGAATTCTTTAAACAGAAACTGTTGCAGGTAACCTTGCCGGGTAGGTACCCTCCCATCAGAGGGTGGCCTCCTCAAGAACAAAGGTTTTTCCTTGTCACCTCTGCACCAAGGTGCTGCAGCACTGAATGGAAATACTGGCCCAGAACAGCAGGAAGTGGCACTTGCAAGAGAAGGAGGCTGCTGTCCTTTGAGGGACTGTAAGTGCAGCAAGAAAAATCCAAGAGGGGACTGGCTTCACTAACAGCTGTGAAGGTTCAATTTTAAGGCTGTCATCTGTCAAACCTGCCACAAGGAACGCAGAATTCAGGAGAGCAAAGATACTGGCTGCACTGAGGAGGAGCACGAGAGGGGAAAGCCTGGAAGTGTGTGGGCAGGTCTGCGAGAGTCTCTCGAGTTGAGAATAAATGCCATGAGAGGAAGATCTATATGAGCATAAAGAACAAGGTAACGAAGAACAAGAAAGCCAGATAATTTATGGAGCAAAAATTCACTTTTTGGGGAGCATTTTCACCACAAATTACCTAATACTTTTCATGCTAGAAATCCGCAGTCCTGGCTCTTTAAATGGCTTCTTTGTGGGTTGTTGGGTTTTGCTTTTTCAAAGCTAGAAACTTGGAAAACCTGTCATATTAACAAAGTATAGCTTAGTCATCTCAGTAGGTCCAGTAACAAAGTCCAGTCTGTTTTATTTCTAACCCAAATATTGCAAATATACAGAAAATTACCAGTACAAAGTTAAACACATCCAGATTTATTTACACAATGCTAAAGAAATTTGAGTTTTATTTCCATTTTGTGGGATTTCATTGTGGGGTCTGGTTTTACTGTGTAATTGACATGGGTCACTGAAACTTGATTATCTCACCTTACATGCAATTTTCTGTCCCAAGGGAACAGAAAACTTGGGTTTTCAGCACACATGCAGTAATGATCTTAATACTGCTTAACACTTTCATAGGAAGAAGGCAGCTGTCTCATGACTTGGGAGGGACCACATGCTCAGAAAGGGAACAAGAGACAAGAGAGGAATGAACAACAGGCACATGGGGACCCTGAGCATTTCTGTGCACGAGGATAAGAGAGTGCGGCCCAAACCCTCCTCCCCAGAGGTTCAAACACAGGAGGTGGGCAGAACCACCAGGGGACATTAAGTCACCCAGCCACAACTGAAGGCATGCGGAGGACGAGAACTGCATTAAAGATTTGGGGGTATCAATAAATCATTAACATGTACACTATACAGTTTATGTATGTATATATGTACATATCTATATATATATAAAGGTACAGATTAGTTTGTTATTCCATATAAACAAGAACGCTTAAGGATGTACTGGTGTGAAAAAATGCATACAGCAAGTTGTTGAAGATAACTTCAAATTAATGCTCTAACTCTTACTGTTATCAACATTAACTAAGAACTCAGTGTGCTCCTGCTGTTTCAGTTATCCTTCCTAAGGGCAGGGCTGGACTCTGCTAGGGCAGGATACTGCTTCTAGAGCTGCCTGCACTGGGTAAATCAGTGGCAGATGGAACAGAAGTCTGGCACCTGATGTCTCTGGCCCTCCCATTCCCTACTTCACATGGCAAATCTTAAACTTTGGTTTTGTTTAAAGGACATTTAAATCCGTGTTAATTCTCCTGTTGGAAAGGCGGCGGTAGAAAGTTGAAAAGGTGCATCTCCTATTTTAGCACTTCCAAACTTCCTAGCTTAACATGGAAATGAGAGGGCTGTGCTGACAATAAGCAGACGAGCTGTTAGGTACTGTGTGTGGGGGTGGGGTTCGGTAGAGCTCTCCTAAAAAGAGACTCTCTACTGAGATGGTTTGCCTAGAAAGCCAGGCCAGCCCTGGCACCCTGGGCTGGTATAGACGGCCCTGTGCTTGTCTCTCTATCCCAGTATCATGATGAAGACCAGGGGATGTCCAGCTATAGTTTATATGTCTAGGGCAGGAGCTGGAGGTGGCCAGTATATTACTAATCTGTCAAGGATGAAAGGCCAGCTTATGCATGCCGAGACCCAGAGACAAACCTAAGAATAAGAAAGATACATACTGGAAGTCTATCCTATCTGGAGGCGGATGCCAATTCCCAGGTCAGGCATGTGACACTGTTGCACGTCTTAAGCCCCACAACTACCACAACTCTCCAAAGGCTTCCACTTTTCTAAGTAGTGTTGCCACTAGATTCATAGCTTAGGCACCTTCCACTCTGGTCCCTGGTCTCAAGAAAAATAAAAAATCTGCTAGGCCTTCAACAGGAAGGATTCTGGATTTAAGAACTCAGACCACTTTGGACTGTCTGATTATGTCCCCCCTACCTAACAATGCTAAATTCCATTGCTCAAACATCCAGAAATCTCTTCTGCAGCTACCAAGCCTGGGAGTTTATGCAGGATATGCTAAGTGTTAACGTCAAGGACGATGCTCCTAACCTGAGTAGGACAAACCAGAAATCTTTTTATTTTAGAAGTTGTAAGGATTCAGACTGTTTTAGTCTCTAACGAGCCAATAAAGGGAATGAGCCAGGCTAGCAGGCAGTCCTAAAGCAACACAGCCACCAGCTCAGGGCGGGAGCAAAAGGATGGCGAAGGGGACCCATCCTCAGAGACTCACACCTGTGTTCAGCAGTGACCCCCCCGCAAAGGGAGGGCCTGTCCCGGAAGACATATTCAAAGTTACCATTAATTTTGTTTTCCGCCATGAAAAACAGAAGAATAAAATTTTGTTTTCAAAAAGAAAACACAAAGGTGCTAAATAATGCTCTGAAAGCAACGCTGCTGACCCTTATCCTAAAGAACAGCCAGTCACCTCTGAGGGAGAAGCTCTGTTCCAAGCGTTTGGCCCTGGCTTGCGTAACAACTTTCCAGAGCTCTGGAGACAGCCGCCCGGAACTGCTCACACCACACACAGGGACCCCGCACAACTGACTCAAGTTTGGTTCCTGGAGTCCCTCACGGGAACACTGGGCGCTCAAATGACACAATACACGTGAAAGTGCTGAGAAAATTGTCAACTCTATATAAATATAAGATATTATTATAAGCAAAGAGCTCTAATCTTATCTGTTTAGAGAAGAATGTTAACCCTTCTACATCTTAAAACTAATAAAAGGATTAGCATATATTGGCCACCTAATCCACACCCATCTGGGCACAAGCTGGGAGGAAAGGTATGTGGTGTCGATAAGTCTTTTCTGGGCATGAAATTCACTTCGGGCAGGAGGTCAGAGTGGAACAGAGGCTGACACTTATCACTTGTGAGCTCGTATGTATCTTTGGATTTAGAAATTGAAAACCATGCAAAATGAATGAGCTTAAAGCTAGTACACTCTAGCCCTCACCAATATTCTCTTCACAAAAACTGCCCCAACTTCATTTTCTAACAGAAGTTCCCTGACTCATTTCATTTTACTGCAGCTTTAAAGTTTCTAAGATTCTCCATCCACTTCCTCCCCCTCTTTTCCTGCTGCTGTTCATCCATTTTGAGGAGGAGAGAACTTAGCCATCTGCTCCCGCATTCTGACAAAAGTTATTTTGGCACATTTAGTTTCCACTGACTTTCTATCCACACGATGAACTAGCAGCAACATGGCACCAATCAAGAGTCTCCCAGTTACTGGGAGAAACTGTGACCAGCACAGAAGGTATGGTGAACCAAAGACGGACCATACTGTATTCCTGTGCAGCAAACATTCGAGCTGTATTACAACTAATTATTGTGGCTTTCCATGACTACATGGCCACCCCCAAATCCACCCAACTACGTTCTGTAATTCATTTCATCTGGAAACATGTCAAATGGAAAACTTCCTTCCGTTTAAAATACGAACACAATGTACCAAACAAGCATCAAGACCGGAAGTGTGTTTTCAACTGGTTCAGCCAAAAGTTTCATGCCAACAAGTGACTTGGCAAAGCAGAGGTGCGGACAAGTGCCTAGTAATAAAATGCTGATTTAAAAAACCATGAATCTGGAAACATCTCTAGTCCTGGCTGCACGCGCAGCAGCAACCCAGGAGGAGGCAAACAAGCAGCCGTTGTAATGGTTCAGTCATGAGCCAACATGACAGGAGCCGAGGGAAGACGGAAGACTGCAGAAGCAAGGCCTCAGGGCTGCACTGTGCGCTCACCGACCAACTCCAGCCGAGACGCTGGAGCGGGCAGACGTCAGGCCAGCCTGCACACCGTCCTTGAGCAAGGCTGCTGGCACACACACAGAGCCCAGCTTCAACCGGCTCGGTAGCGGCCAGCTTCGCCTTTAATAGGTACTAAATCTAGTCAGTTCTCTGTTGCTCCCTTATGCCTGCCCCAAGTTAAAAGTATTGTCCTGTAGGGTTTCCTGATTTAGTATCTTGGAAGCACATGGTTAAGTTGGTTGCCAAAGGGCAATTAACAAGTGTATTGCCTAAACAGGGGAAAAGAAAAATCACTGTGGTCTATGGTCCTCGGGGGAAAACAAAAGCAGCGTCAGGATCTGTGTGAGGAGCTGGTATAAAATGTTCTTGGAGCAGGGCTGTCCCCAGATGGAGAAGAGCTGGCCAGGCTGTACCAGTCACCGCAGCCTCTGTCTTCCTCTCTGTGGCTGCTTCACGTGGCAGGCAGAGCCCAAGGACAGCACCGTGGACACTGAATGGATGCTGGAGTCAGCAGGTGCTCTGGGGTGGGCGCCACGCAGAACAGGCAAGGGTGAGGTGAGTGAAACAAGCCCTTCGAATTCCATTTCATTTCCTTTAAAACAAAAACAAAAACAAAAACCCAAACTAAAACCCAAATAAACCCAAAGCCTATACTTAACAAAAAAAACCAGAACTTGAAATATAAAGTTAAGAATTTAAAATTTCCCCCTGTTCAGAGCCAATTTGAAGAGTGTTGAGGGTTTCCCACCCCGCCCCGAAGTTCTTTAGTGTAGGTCCTTTTGGCTTTGATGGAAGCAGCAGAAACAGAGCTGGGTCCCTTGAAATGGGAAATTTACTTCCCCAAACTGGAGCCACAGGGAGTGTAAGAGGTACGGCGGTTCCACTCTCTGTGCCTGGTCCCAGCTCCTCGGAAGAGCTATTCCAGGAGGTCCTGAAAGAAAGACATGTGCCATATTACTGATAGATTAAAATATTCCTATTTTGAAAGTAATTATCTAGTTTCTGGACCAAATCCCACATTATTAAGGTGCTGTTTCTGGATTAAGCCTTCCTTTGCCTCAACTGTGTTTTTTTGAGATAGGGTCTTGCTGTGTAGCCCAGGCTGGCCTTGAACTTGCAGTGATCCTCCTGCCTCAGCCTCCCAAGTGCTGGGATCACAGGCGTGTGCCACACCTGGCTCAGCTGTGTTTTGATGGGAGTAGAAGAATCACTTTCTTTTTTGTATTTTTGGAGGACACCTCCAGAAGAAACAGTCTCACCTCATCTGAGTCATCATGATAACCACTCTTATTAGCATGGGAGGCTGTGTCCAGAGTGTCCACACCATCGGCCTCTGCGTGCTGCTGCAGCACAGAATATCGATGCACTAGGAACCTGTGGATGGAAGCACATGGTAAGCAGGGTGCGTTTCTTACATACTCACGATTTATACACTCATGGGTGAGTCACACACAGGCATCACAGCCCACAGTTAACATGTGGAAAAATACAGGCTATGACAAGATTTGGACCTGATTTTTTAGATCACTTCAACTACTAGTTTTAGCCAAGGGCAGACTCAACTCTATGTGCTAGACTTCATGGTTTGAATTTAGCACCTCTGACTCCCTTCCACATTCCTTACCTTCCACCACAGACATATTTCTTCACAATGAGCACTCCTGCTACAACTGTGACCAGCATCAATCCCACGATGGCCAGGATAATTGGAACAGAGTTTGACTTGGAACTCTTGATAAATCAAAACATAAAACATAAAAGCTTTTAGGATGCATATTCTAATCCTAGGACTGCATTCAAAATGGCTGCTCATTCCCCTATTTTCTCTGAGCCATCTACACTTGGAGGCACTTAATGATGTTACTTTTCCAACCCCACCCAAGGATGAACCATCTCGGCATTACTAGGAGAGGATCACAGCAGGCAGGGGGATCTGAACTCCACTGGCTCAAGGCTACAAACAGGCTTCAATGTCAAAGCTATGCTGGAAACCTCGATGACTGCCTGGATGAATGACATACGGTGATCGTGACAGTTCCTTGTTTACAAATCTTAGAGCTGCAGGGCAGAGCAGGAAAGGGACACTATGATAATAGTGGGCTGAATGAACCTAGAACAAAATCATCGTCTGGATGATGCTGTGTTGGTGCTCTCTAGGCAGGCCACCCTATGACACCAAGGTTTATGTTTTTACTCAAGTTTTGATTTGTTTACAAATAAGCCTTTTCATATCATGGTTTTTGTGTAACCTACCTGCTTCTGGGTGGGAGATAGGAAGTGTGTGTTTTCAATGTGTCCAAGAGGAGGCGGAGCTGGATTCTGGGACAAGCTGTGTCCCTGTGGGCGGGAGTCCTGTGCAATCACACACACAAACACTCTGAGGACAGCCACCAGGAGCCCAGGGCAGGGGTGCAGAGCAGGGGGAACTTGTCCCCCTTACAGATACACACACCCACACACTCTTCTCCCCTTGCCTTCTTAACCCACCCTTTGTCAGTCTCTCATCCCTTAAAACAGCAGAGGGCAGGCGACTGCAGACTGTCCAGCTCAACCTCTCCTATTACAGATTAGGAGCAGGGGGCCCTGGTTTGTCTCCCCACGTCTTGTTACTGGTCCAGTGCCTCTGTATCAAGAGGATTCCTCTTCACCGTATCTCCAGATCCCAACCAGATAGTTCAGTACCACAATTTGTAGTCAGCCTCGTAACTTGCCTTTAAATCAACACCAGCCCATTATTACCATAGTTTAGCTTCTCATTCTGAATACACTGGCAGGACTCAGCACAAAGCTCCCCTCTACCTACTGTCCAACACTTTTCTCCACATGTGCAGGACTCCAGGTTGTGGCCCTTTTACAGCCAACCTCCTCTCTTTTTAAAAATTATTTTTAAGGTTTTGGTTAACATGTTATAATTGTACACATGAATGGGGAGTGCTGTGATATTTCAGCACATGCATACACCACACACTCACGGCCAGCCTTCTTGAGTCTTTTTCCTAAATGACTTGGAGACTCAGAAACTTCCACAACGCTGCTTCTAAGATGCTTACAACTTTCTAGGATATTTCTTCCCCAATCCAAAGGTCTCTTAATAAAATGAGCTTATCATTGGGTTATGTGACTTATCCTTTGCCCTAACAGTTTCTTGTGCAAAGAGAAGTCTGATAGAAGTACTCTGGCCACTTTGTATCAATAATACAACATTTGATGCTATAACTGATTCTTCCTGGTAGAATATGAAATCCCACTTGTATCTAAAAATTAGACCTGTTTTAATGTACCTGCTTTTTGGGACTCAAAAAGTTGCTTGTGCATTTCTTTTTCAAGTCTTTTACTTCTCGAACTGGATTCACCCCACCTTGGCATCTGTCTCCTGGAATTTTCCGGTACCTGAAAGTCAGAGATCTGCTTATCGGGTTTTGTACTTGCCGGCAGTGTTGCTTTCCAATCAAGGTGTACAAGTGGTGGCTCTTGCTTCTGGGTTGGGTTGCACGGCACTCCTGGCAGGGGCAGGGGGGCCAAGCCCAAGACATGGCCAGTATGCTGGCAGCAGCTGGACTGACAACTGCTGCAGCAAGAGGTTTAGGCCCTTATGTTGGCAAACCATAAAACACACAGAGCCCCGAACAGTCTCAAAGTCTACCAAAATCTGCCTTTAGTGTTGCCTTCACAGTAGTGGGCTTGAACTCAAAAGAACAAAACAGGAAACAGCATTAATACTAGGCGTAAGCCCTGCTACTAATAAAGGAATGAGAGGTGTTCATCAACAAATCAGTGCTCATCCAGACAAAGGAGGATCGCCTTATATAGCAGCCAAAAATCAATCTGGTGGAAGATCTGTTAGAAGGTCAAATGAAAAAGTAAATGTATGATGAATCTTCTGTTTTATGAGCTTATGTATATGAATACCAATGTTTTTCTTTTACTTTTCCAGCTTTCAATAATAAAATGACTCAGCTGTGGAAAGGAAGGAGGCAAGGGAGGAAGACAGGAAGGAAGGTAGAGCACAGAGAGAAGGAAGAAAACTTGGTTTACTAAAGGAATACAACGGTATATACTGGGCTCTTGCCTACTTCCTGGAAACAAGATTGGAGAACTGCAGAAAAGTTTTTCTTCCTTATGTAACCAAGGGAAAACCTGAACAAACACTCCAGCTGCAATCGCTTTTAGTCTCCTTTTAGAAATTAATTTTGGAGGTCACACAACTGAGCAGTATATGATTAGTTTCCAACTAGGGTTGCCGTAGATGTCACATCAGATGCATGGGTCACGATGACAATGGTTGCCCAGGACTTTCCAGAGACTTGAAGGGCACTTTTGTTGAAATCACTGCCTGTTCACTTGTGTCTTGGCTGGTGTTGGATGGGTGACCTTTTGGGTAACATATTTTTCTGGGTAACAGTTTGATGGATGGGCACAAACTCCACCCTCAGATTATGCTATCACCACCATTTTCTGAACACGCATTCTACAAAGAGCTATGAAGATCACACGTGCAGATCAATGATTACCTCACTTCCAATCACTTTTTCCCATGCCTTAATTTACCCTGCTTCTTTATCCCGTAAATTTCCCAAGCCATACTGTCAGGGAGGCAGATCGGAGACTTGTCCTCCTGTCTCCCTACACTTGGACAACCCATGAATAAACGCTCCCTTTTGTAAAACTCCTTGTTGCAACGGTTGGCACTGTGTATGGTAAGCAAAGCAAAACTGATTTGGTAACATGTCATCTATAAGGCCTAGAGGAATGACCACAGATATATTGAGTTCATTAAGCACCTCTGTTCCTAACTGCTGGGGACATGTCTGCCCCTTCTACCTCAAGAGGCTGTGACTCACAGCAAGCTTATTAATAAATGGTATACAACGGAGACAGTGCGGCAAATTTATCCGAGAGGCAATGAGGCTCCTCTGGAGTTGTACTGTCCATATGGCATCCATTTAAATCCAAATTAATTAAAATGAAAAATCCCATTCCTCAGCTGCACTTGTGTCACAGCTCTGTGTGGCTAGTGGTTACCATATGGAACACAGCAGGTCGCAGCACATTCCCATCACCACAGAAGGTTCTCCTAGGTAGCGCTTTCGCGGGTATTCTGAGTACTACTTGGCTCTCTGCGTGGAGAGAAGCATCCTTCTCCCTGAGCAATGAAGAGTCATCTGCCACAAAGCAGAAAGGCCACCTCACCCGTTTGTCGTCAGGTGTTCTTCTCGTCCGTACAGACAAAACTCTAGGTCGTGCCCTTTCAATTCTGGCTGTTCCACACACTTTGAGTCATTTTCTGGACGGAAGTAGCCAAAATCACTGCAAGAGTCAACAGATAAGGTAACTTCTAAAGTTGTTGAAGGACAGTGCATGACTATCAATGAACGTGTTGTGTGGGGCAGCAGACGCTCACTAACAGTTGTCAGCAGTTCAGGAAGGTCTGTGACATCTCTGAAGAAGGACCGTACTATAATTTGGATCTGGGTCTCCCAAAGCCCATGTGTTCAAGCCTTGATCCCCAGTATGACATTATTGGGGGAGTTGGTGCCTAGCAGGAGGTATTTGGGTCATTGGGAAGCCCCCAGCCCCTCTTTTCTTGCTTTCTGTCCATGACTTAAGCAGTTCTGTTCTACCACACACCCCACCTTGAAATGCTGCATTGCCACAGGCCTAAAATAACAGGCCCAACCAATTGTGGACTTTCTCGTTATAAACCTTTTGCCCTTATAAGCTGATCACTCAGGCATCTGTTATGATGAAGGAAAGCTGACTAATTCAGCCATGTAGGAGGGGGATATGGACCAGGGGCTCTGCAGACAGCTCAGGCTCAGGGAAGGAACTGAATGCAGCTCACAGTGGGGCGAAGGCCCATCACTAAGACAAAGATAGTCACAGAAGCAGGGGCATAACGAATACCTAAATTCAGGAGATTTAATAACTCTTTACTTCCAAATGTAACTGTATTTTGCCTGTGGGGGTATATGTCAGACTGTTTCTATCTTCCCCTCTTCTGTGTCTCTCAGCTTGTTATCCAGTCCTTGCCTCCAATGGCAACATCCCCTGTTGCCCTCCGCTCCATCTCATCCCTTCCTGGTACCTATCAACTGCTCTGCTTTCCACTTTCCCCACAGGAACTCTGAGGCTGACATCCCTACACCAGCATCCTTAGTCTTGGTCCTGCTCTTGCCACCAACCCTGGGCCCTTGCTTCACAGACGGCACGAGAGACTTTTCCCATTCACCTGGTGGCTTCTCCTTAGTCTACGTATATCTCTGCTCCAGAAATTACTGTCTTAATCTTTTTCCCCGTTAATGGACCAATTTTTTTCTTTGCTTTTTCTTTATCTCTCTTCTCCCTTCCCCTTTCTCTCTCCCTCCTTCTCTTCTTCTTTTGTGGCACTGGGGATTGAAGCCAGGGCTCTGCACCTGCTAGGCAAGCAGGCTACCACTGAACTACTCCTCCAGACCCCTTCCTTCCTTTCCAAAATTTTTTTGAATACAGTCTTGCTAAGTTGTTCAAGCTAACCTCGAACTTGCTAATCCTTCTGCCCCCGCATCCCAAGTAGCTGGGATTACAAATGTGCATCACTGTCCCCCTCTTTACTGGCCCAATTTCTTAGAAGAATATTTCCTGCCCCGTTTTACTCATTTACTTTATATTCCATGTATTTTGCCCTCAACCCCTCTGGAACCTTGAAAAGGAACGCCGAAGTTTGCTAGACACCAAACCCAGAGGAGCCCTCCCTGGTACTACCCACCTCTGCCACCTGCTGCTTCATCCAACACACCCTATCCACCTTGGTGGTGGCAAACATTCCTTCCAGATGTTTTTGTGACAATGGCTGCATTTCTGGCTCCCTACCCATACATGTAGACTTTGACAGGGCTCTATAATTCACTTTTATTTTCTCTGAACCTCCTCACCCTTAGTGAACACAACGCTTTGCATTCACTACTAAAACTTACATGTTTCACCTCTCTTGGGCCTTAATCCTGTATTTCCAAATGGCTACTGGAAGTCACCATCTAAATATGCTGCAGAATCTCAAAGGAATAAAATGATCAAAACACAGCATGTTTTCTTCCCTGCACCAGTCCCTCCTCATCATTTCCATGTGTCTGTCCCCTCTACTACCTTCCTTCTACCATCTAAGTGGAAAATTTAGCCTTGGCATCCTCTAGCTACCCTCTTGTACTTCTGTACCAAGACTCTGACTTCTCACAACCTATCATCTGGCACCGCTCCTGTGCTACTGTGTGTCCACGCTCACAGTGGTCCACTGGCTTTTATGACCCACTTTCTCCCCTGATATGCACAGGAATCCTACCAGTCATCAATACTCAGCTCAAAATGTCACCTCCTGAACTAAGCCTTCTGTGACCAGCCTCTTTTCAGCTCTAGATAGAACCTTTTCTCCCTTCTCTAAACCTGCGGAGCAATTATTCCCTTTGTTTTATGTCATAATTTATGTGCACTTTATCCAGAAGTCTCCAGCAAATCTTCTGTTAGTTTGCATTGCACTGCGCAGAGCAGGTGCTGAATGAATGTATGGGGGCTATACAGATGCCACTTGTAATTTAAGGATTTTTAGGGGAGAAGGCAAGGAGAGAAAAAGATGCAAAAACATCACCCCTCTAACAGCAGGGAGAAATTTCATGTAAGAATTTTAGGTATCCCAGCGCTGCCACTTCTCCCAGACCAGTCAGTCACAATCTTTTTCTGTTCTAAGTTCAAATGCAGATTGTTTAGGACAGTGCCAACTACAGGGTTAGTGCTCAATAATGTTGGCTGCTGTCATTAGCACTGTGTTATATTATCATATGTAAAACTGTACACTCTCAAGGAGCTTGGGCTTATTTTTATTTATTTAAGTTTGCCTTTTCAAGACAGGGTTTTGCTGTGCAGTTCAGGCTGGCCTCGAACTCACAGTGATCCTTCTGCCTCAGCCTCCCGAGTGCTGGGATTACAGGTGTGCGCAACCACACCTGGCTCTAGAGTTTGGGTTTAATTGTGAAGCCAAACCTATAAATCATCATTAAAACATAGTAAGTGCTGATGTAGAAGCGCTTTTGGGGAGCTCAGAAGGAGAGGCTTAGCAGGTGTGAGGTCCTATGGAGAATGTGGTCAGACTTCCAGCCAGAGGAAAAGCCTGGCACAGTGGCTGGAGCTCTGAAGAGTCATAGAACCCTTGGAAAATGGAGATGTTCAGGGAAAGATCCAGTGTATCTGGAGTCAAGGACAGGATAGAAACTTTCAGACTTGTACAGGTTTATCATCCCAAGCTCTGCACTGGTAACTGCAGCCCTACAGTGACTCCAAGGAGATGTGAATGATGTTTTTCTGGTGCAAACGAGAAGAAAGGAACCTTGACTAGTCTACATACAGATGTGAGCTGCACAGGAATGGCCCCACAGGGTGAGACGCGTGCCTCTCAGACCTGCCTTCCGCTGTCACCTGCAGTTCAGGGCTGCGCCATGAGGGAAGACCTGGCTGCTACCTGCTTGCCTTTTTGTCCAAACCCTTTAAGATACACTTTCACTTCTGTTAGTATCTACTGTACGGAGCAAACTCCACAGAATTATTATCTGTGATGTGAAGCAGTCCCTCCTATTTCCCCTAAAATTACCTCAGGGACTTCCTAGCCTTTTATATAATCTAATCCTCTGCCCACCAAGCTGGCTCTGAACTCCAGGGAGTCCACCCTGACTGCCTATACATCTCAAAAGGACATACAGGCTGCAAACATTCTGATGTTGCCTCTAGTCTCAGGACCAAATAACCATCTCGCTGCCTTCAGCCTAGCAGAGGAACAGAAACCTCATACTCAAACCATCAAGCTGCCCTCTAAAATTAATTTCCCTTTTGTGTCAGCACTACTTTCCTTGGGGTTCTTGTCTTGTCATTGGTTATAGATGTTACTGCTTTATTCTCTTCATTTTTTTATAGATTCTTTTCTTTCACCACTATCAGAAGATAATGGGGTTGGTTGCTCATTCTGCCTAATGATTATCCAGGAAGATTATACGATTTGCCTAATTATTCACAACTGTTCCCTCTCTAATTATTCATAACTATTCCCTTTCTCGGGGCCTCAGTTCTCTGGGTAAGAAGTAGTGGTTCTCCACTCTTGGGGAAAGGGATTTCAGTATTTTAGCACTGTGTGACAACTGTTTTCATCTCTTCCCATATGGGGCAGGGACTGACAGAGGGATGAGGAGTGTAGATACCAGAGAAAGTCCTCCAGGGAACAGGGACAGATGGACGGCTGCTTGGTTACAACATAGTCTCGACCATTCTGACAGACAGATGACTTCCGTAGTCGTAGGTACTGTTCCCTATAGCCCAGAATGCAGCCATCTTCATAATCTCCAGGGTCTGTGGAGTGTGCCAGCCATATGGTATAGTCCTTTTCTTCACCTAAAGGACAGATAGATGGTTCAGGAAGCTGTACAACAGAGCCCAATCACAGAACGCAGTGCCAGGCTACAGGAAGAATGAGGAGCAGGAAGACAGCCTGACGCAAGCCACGGCTGTTTGGAACTGCCAACAAAATTACATTAGTCTACAGCCTACTAGCAATTGCATTTCTTTATGCGAAAAGTTGGCTCTTTCCCTCTCACCATCCATTCAAGGATCAGGAAAGAACCTGACTTGTTTTGAAGTGGGACGCTACATAGGAAAGTTCTAGAGTTCCCTCCAAACTGAGAAGCCGCTGTGTCTTGCTCATGTCTTGCTTTCAGAGGTGAGAAACCAGATATTTCCACTCCAGGGGCTCTTTGCTTAGGATCAGATACTAACGATGTAAGAGTACAGGTTCAATTTCACCACGTGTTAGTTTGCTTGAATTAGCAGTGAAAACAGCATCTTTCTAGAATTCTAGCTCTAGTCAACCGGCTCTCAAATGTGGATTGTTGATGACAGTAATTTCTGGCTCAGAAAATCACATCATCTACTCCTGCACAAATAACTCAAAGACTATGACCTAAAGACCACGGATTAGGTTTTATCCTTCAGGATATGAAGACCAGCACAAGCCTGTTGGAGAACAGGTGCTCTGCAAATCTCTTAATGATGCTGAACTTCAGTGCTACGTAGAACTGGCTGTTGAGGGTGAAACTCATAAGCCAGCTCCTTTACAGCTTATCTAATGAATTTAGATGACAGAAGCCTTCAGGTCTTAAATTTAAACATCTTATAGAAAGGGAAAGTCCAAAGGAGGAGTTCTGCTTCCTCAGGAGCTAATGAATTAACATCCTGAGGGAATAGACTCACAAAAATGTCTAGCAGGATCAAAATTCAACTAAAATGTCTTGAAACTTTTAAGTCTTGGATTGTGTTACACCAACATGGCAGTATAGGTTACTTTTTTTTCTACTGTTTCCTTTTGTCTTTCATATTTCTCAGTATAATGCCAACATCTTTGGCACTAGGTCTCGGTTTGCCTGTGACACTTGGGAACCCTGTGTCCTACACGTTATCAATTTTTTTCTAAAGCCATTTTCCAGGCCTTTATGGTATCTTTTAGTGCAAACTCACAGAACTTGGAGGAGGTTAGTGTGGGCTTCATGCCTGCTTGATGGTCATTCTAGAGCCTCACTTGTGACTGAATTGAAGCCAAAAGTCTTTTGCATGATAATTTCTTTATTTCAACATGTTGAGAAGTTATACAACTAGATACTCTTGCAAACACTTTCCTCTGAAGTTTCCTCTTTACAGTTTCAGCATATTTGACTAATCAGGGTGAAGACTCCTGAAATGTCATGAAAAAATTGTAGACAAGCACACACATGCACTATTATAAACTGGGAAAAAAGTCTCATAAAAAGTGAATGCAACGTTACAGTGTTTGATACAGCATCCTAATCACATGTGGCTGGTCGAAACTGAGAATTCCTGTGTTAGTACCGACATGTGTACCAGATTTCAAAGACTTAGAAGGCAAAAATGGCCAGGAGTATAGCTCAGTGGCATGGTGCCTGCCTGGTAAGTGTGAGGTCCTGAGTTTGATTCTTGTTTTATAGAAAAAAAAAAGGAAAAAATGTAAAAAATTCAATAAATTTTAATATTTCTAATATGAATATTTAATATTAAAAGGATAATGTTTTGGACATAAGATAATTCTATCACTAAAATGCATTTCACTTTTCTTTTTGCTTTTATTATATAGTTGACACAATAGTTTAAATTACGTATGTGCCCTTTTTTCTCTTTTTTTTTTTTTTTTTTTTTTTTTTTTGGTTTTTCTCCGGTACCGGGAACCGAACTCATGACCTTGCACTTGCCAGGCAGGCGCTTTTGCCACTGAGCTAAATCCCCAGCCCCCCTTTTTTCTCTTGAACAGTGAAGAAAACTGCTTTTTGATATCATTCCATTGCTTGACTACTTACATGGAATAACCTCTAATTTCCTTTTACATGCATATGCATTTGCTTATCCTAGCTAAAAAAAATAAACTGAATTTATTATTTAGGAAAAGTTCTCGTAGAGATGTCGAAGGAGATACTCACAGTTCCTTTCAAGGATATCTTTAAAATCAATGGTGTAGGAGACCCACTGGCGGGTCAGGAAAGATTCTGTGAACCCCCAAATGCTGATGTTCATGGACCTAGCTCCAGGCTCTGAAGCTAGGCCAGTGAAATAGATGGGCTCCCTGGTGAACATGTAGGTTTGCCAGCATTGACCTTCGTCTGTGGAGAATCTGAAACATCAATCAGAGAAAGATCTTAACAGAGGACCAACAAGTGCTGGGGATATCACAAAAACACTCTGGTTGTTTGGTCTTCATAGAAAAACCTCAGATTTAGGTGATGGCTTAAGCAATGGCTGACAACTTCTTTCATTTTTAATGCCTATGACTAACAGTGCTGGGAAAAGGATTCATTCTGAGAAGGTACTGAAAGGAAAGGGCACTGACTCATGTGAGAATGGGCTTCTGAATTAACAGAAATCAAATTATCCTATAAAAACCTGTATTTAGGAAGTCATTTCCAATCCACAGTGCTTCAATAGTTCTGTAACATTTTTGTGCTGAGAATTTTTAAAAATGATAAACTGTGTTAGAAGAAATACCAATGCCATTTAATCTGAGTTGCTCTGTAATACAATCCCTTCTAGAATGTTTCCTACAGCTTTGGAGAATGCAAAATCTGAATCAGGGCCTGTGATTTCTTCCCTCAATAAGCTGAAGAACATCCCCACAGTGCCCTCTACGCAGATACTGTGTGTGGAGCGGAGCTCATGCATACTTAATCACATTGATAGGATGGCTGCTGTGCTCGATGGCCACAATGATGCCTCCAGAATCCAGGATGGTGTAATAGTGGGGTCCTTCCAGCATCTTCATCCAGGAGTAACCCCCATCATCTGAGATGTAGACATCTGGCACCATCACTGAGATGGCATCCCCCACACTACCTGCAACATAATCCACCATCTCATCAGCAGTGAAACACAGGAGGATAATTTTTTATTTTTTTGAGACAAAAGGATAATTTTTTATTTTTTTGAGACAGGATCTCGCTAGTAGTCCAGGCTGGCCTTGAACTCACTATGTATCCCAGGCTCATTTTGAACTCATGGTAATCCTCCTGCCTCAGCCTCTCAGTGCTGAGATTATAGGTGTGTGCTACCACACCTAGCTTTTTGTCTGTTTGTTTGTTTTGTTTTGGCAGGGTCTCACTGCACAGTTCAGGCTGGTACTGAACTCACTACGTAGCCTAGGTTGGCCTTGAACTTCTGGAGATCCTCCTGTCTCAACCTCCTGAGTGCTGGGATTACAGATGTGTGTGCCACCACGCCTGGAAAGATGGTAATTTTGAATGACTTTCTGTGTATTTCCCCATCAGGCCTCTTGCAGCAGACAAAAGGGCCACCAAAAATTGGAAGAGGAGAAGTCATGTTGTACTCTCAGATGGGACTCTATGAAAATCTCAAAGCATTGTTATAATGCAAGACATTCTACCACAGAAATACAAAAATCTTCTGTAGGGGGTTTCTGTACTGTTTTTAATAAGGTTCGAAGGCTTTGGTTGAGTCTCAGTGTACTCAGCTACTCTACTCATGGTGGTAAGAGGAAGGGCTCCTTACCATGAGCGATGACTATGCCCACAGCATTAGGCTCCGAGAGTGGCGCCATCGGAACGTTTAGTTTCTGGGAGATGCTGTAGGAAGCATGAATATGAAGGCTGCACTGTGAAAAGAAACCAAAGGTACAACAATGTCCTTATTCATCTCACAGAGCTGTCTAATAAAGCCTTAAACTTAATACACACCTCAGAGGCATCTTTTAACAAAAACTGTGGCCAAATACATATTTTGTAAAATTTACCGTCTTAACTTCTTACACATACAGTTCAGGAGTGTAGGTGTATTCCCACCTTTGTGCAACCAATCTGCAGAACTTGTGCATCTTGCAAAACTGAAACCACCACCCTTTAAGCAACAACTCCCCACTTGTTCCCTGAAACTCTGGCAACTGCTGTTCTGCCTTCTACCTTTGCTTTTGATTATTCCAGGTACTTCATATACTGAAGTCATACAGCATTTACCTTTTCGTGACTGGCTCATTTTTCTTAGCATAATGTTATAAAGGTTCATCTGTACAGCAGCGTATGTCAGACTTTTCTTCCTTTGAAGACAATGATGCTCCTGTGTATGTACATCGCATTTTACCAGCCCTTTCACCTGTTGCTGGGTACTTGAGCTTCCCTACCTTTTCCCCATTATGAGTAATGCTGCTCTATGTACACAGGTATAGAAATATCTTTCACAACTATCTTTTTGGGGGTTACTTCAAACTAAAGTAGTTCTAAAGCAAAGGAAACATTTAAAAGAGTCAAACAGTAACACAAAGAGTGGGAGGGAATACTTGAACACTACACATCTGACAGGGGTTAATATACAAACAACTCAATAACAAGAAAACAACACCATTTTAAACAACAGGCAAAGGAAAAAATAGCAAAGGGCATAAATAGCTATTTGAAAAGACACAGAAACAGACAACAAGTGTATGAAAAAATATTCAATATCACTAATCATTATGAAAAAGCATATAAAAACACAGTGAGATATCTTCTCATAACTGTTAGAATGGCCATTATCAATACGACAAACAAATAAATGTTAGTAAGGATGTGGAAAAAGGGGAACCCTTGTACTGTGTAGATAGAAATGCAAATTGTTACAGTCATATGCAAAGGAATATGGAGCTTCCTTAAAAAAATTAAAGCTATAGCCAGATGTGGTGGCTCATGCCTGTAATCCCAGCATTCAGGTGGCAGAAGCAGGACTGCTATGAGTTCAAGACCAGCCTGCACTACATAGTGAGGCCCTGTCTCAAAAAACCAAATCAAACAACAAAACCCCCCAACAAAAACAAAAAATTAAAGATGCAGAAAAACTACCAATCTCACTTTTGGGTGTGCATCCAGAAGAAAAGAAATCAGAATTTTGAGACATGTACACTTCCCTGTTCATTCCAGCATTATTCATAATAGCCAACATACAGAACCACACTGTGTCATTTGAGGAATGAATGTTTAAAATGTGGTCTGTCTATACAATGGAATATTGTTCAGCCTTACGAAAGAAAATCTTGCCATTTACAACGACGTGGATGAAGCTGGAAGACATCCTGTTAAGTAAAATAAGCCAGGCACAGAAACACAGAGGATATGACTTCATTTACATATGGAATCTGAAGAAGTGGAACTCACACACGCAGAGACTAAAATGGCGGCTGCCAGGGATTAGGAAGACAGAGGAAGAATGGGCAATATCGGCCAAAGGGCACAAAGTTTCAGTTATGCAAGATGAGCAACTTCTGGTGAGCTAATGTGCAGCATGGTGACAGTGGTCAATCACACCACATGGCAATTTGAATCTCACGAAAGGAGTGGATCCTAAATGTTCTGATCATGCACACACGGACAATAGAAAGGTCACTGTGGGGGTAATGAGTGTATTCATTAGTTTGGCTGTGGTAGTCATTTTACAATGTGTACATACAACCAAACATCACAGTGTATACTGAACATATATAGCACTTTTATTTATCAACAATACTTCAGTAAGAAAAAAAGTGGAGAAGAAAAGAAATAAATGTCAGGAAGTAGTTGATAAAGCAGAATGAAAGTCAGTACTTTAAGAGGTCCCAAATGGTTAACATGGTAAGGACCAGTAGCATGTTGTGCATAGTTTACTAGAATATAAAAAAAGAGTTTCAAGCGAACTACTCATGAAGAATGGTTAGGGGGCTGGGGATTTAGCTCAGCGGCACAGCACCCGCCTGGCAAGCACAAGGTCGTGAGTTTGATTCCCGGTACCGGGGAAAAAACAAACAAAACAAAACAAAACAAAAGAATGATTAGTTCTAACTGATGGGGACTGAGGAGGGTTAGGATTTCCATGGATCCTAATTAACCAGGGTTCAGGGAGACAGGCACAACTTCCACCAGAGACACTACGAAGAAGGTCACAGAGGTAAGACATATGCAGTGTGCAGGTCAGAGATACAACTGGTACGAACAGTGAAAAGGCAGAGTGAGCCTGACAGGAGAGAATCTGCGTTCACCAGGTCCAGGACACAGACTGTTCCCGGGCAAAGGAGAACCATGAAGAATGCTGGGAAGAGGGAAGGGAGCAAGGTGGCAAGGCCAATGAAGAGGCCACCGGACCTACTTTGGCTGAAGGTGAGGAGGGGAGGAGGAGGGCAAGGCCGCAGCAGAGCGATGGGGAGAGAGACGAGAAGCAGAGGCACTCAGCGCTTACAGGGAGGAGGAAGGGAGTCTGCCGGCAGCAGTGCAGGAATACTTTACCTCACAGCGGCCGCGGCTCTCACACAGAGACTGGGAAGTCTGGAAAGCAGGTGCACAGCACCGCAGGTGCTCTGAGAGGTCAGCAGCCCCCAGTACCGCTGTTTTGAAGAAAACAGCCAGCGTGCCCTAAGCTCCTCTACGATTCTGCTACGAGCCAGATAAAAAGCTGCTTCTTCTCTCTTGCCTGTCCAGGCCTGTCACTCCTGAGATTCGGGGTCTCCTACAGTGGCACTTTTGTTTCTACCTCCAGGTCTGTCCTCAGAGGGCTTCCCCTGCTTTCCCGGGACCCGGCTCACCGGCTGTGTCACCAGGTGGAGGCAAAGCAAGGCCAACACTCTTTCATTTTTTCTGTCCAGCATGTCTCTGTGGTGTTTATGTTTGTTTGTTTGTTTTTTTTTTTGTTTTTCTCCGGTACCGGGAACCGAACTCACGACCTTGCGCTTGCCAGGCAGGAGCTTTTGCCGCTGAGCTAAATCCCCAGCCCCTCTGTGGTGTTTATGAATGGCTGCTTGCTGGCTTGGGATTCCTAAAGCCTCATCACTGCCATGCTGACCCCCATTAGCACATCTGCCCATTCTGTGTTCATTCCACAGGTGAGTAAAACAAACTGCTAGCCACTGGTTCTGTTCTTTAAAAGATGATCCACAATATCTTCATCTTTCTTGACAGTTTCTACTTCTAAGTTAATTTCATTACTTTTATTTTCAAACTTTCCACCTGAAACTGTGGGTCCTAATCTAGTGTGAACTTAACGACTCAGAAGCCTGGTGTAGCTGCTTTTCTGGATGCACACCCAACACTGGCGCACACAAACCTCGTTCTTGTTTTTGGCGGTAGCATCACACTCGCTGTTTTCAGGCTTCCGCAGGTGCTTCCACCTTCCTCCTTGGTCAAAAGTGATCATTGTCTGGATAGAATTATCTGAATGGGAAGAGAATGACCACCAGTCTGATACACTGGAAGCACCAGTTACAGTCAGTTTGTCACCGTAAAACTTGCTCCTGAGACCAGAGAACACCATTCAAACCCTGGAGTCCCACAAGCTTTTAATGCCTTGCAAAAATGGCACAGTGATGTTAAATAAATAACTGAGCAGCCCTTTAAATGTGAGACCTTTGAAAGGCTTATTACCTGAGCAGGACTGAATGAACCCCCAAAATCATTTGGGGCTGATACTACTAGAAAAAGAGCTGATCTTACAGTGTAGAGTTTATCTTAAATTCCCCCTGAGGCCCATGTCTTAAAGGGTGGTCACCAGCCTGTGCCATTGTTAACAGGTGGAGGCACCTTTAAGAGGCCGGGACTAGTGGGAAGAAGTTATGTCACTGGGGGGGCCCTTGACAGGGGCACTGAGACCCTGGTCCCTTCTTTTTCCTCTCTGTAAGGTGAAGGGGCTTTCTCCCTGACATGTTCCTGCCTTGATGTGCTCCAACAGACTCAGAAGAGTGGGGACAACTGACTGTGGACTGAAATCATTCAAACTGTGAGCCAAAATAAACCTCTTCTCTTTTGTAAACTGACTGCTTTAGGTATTTTGTTATAGTAAATGAAAGAGGATCATACACTTTAACTCCTGACTCATATGAACAGGCCAATGGTCCATTCTCCTTCTTTGTCTGATGACTTAGAAGAAAAACCTAGCATGGTAAAGCATCCTCATCTCTACTTGGACAAGGTCAAGACAAGGTCTTAGGACTCAGACCTTTTTTTGTTTTTTGAGACAGGGTCATGCTGTGTAACTTGGACTGGTTTTGAAATCAGTATGTAGTCCAGGCTAGCCTGGGACTTGCTGCAATCCACCTGCTTCAGCCTCCCAAGTGCTGGACTAATAGTACACCACTATGCCCAGCTCAAAGTCTGAATATGTGTGCTGGACTAATAATTCCTATTGTCGTCTCTCCACTACCCATATCCCATTATTCTTACACTTCATTTTTCCCCCTTATGTTCAACTTCCTCAATTCTCTATTTTCAGTGATAAAACTATTGTAGGTTTATATTTAATATACTTTGAGCCATCCAAGGAATACCAACTAGGAAAGCAAGTGAAGGAAAATTCATTGATTCAACGAACATTTACTAAGTGCTCAACAAGTGAAAACTATTGTAAACCTTTAGGAATATTCTAGTGAACAAAAGAAAAATAATCTGGTGAAATACATATACCGGTAGGGTGAGACAAGCACTACACAGAGTAAATGAGTAAATTAGATAGCATGTCAGGAAATAGGTTATATGGAAAAGCACCTGCACAGCTAAAGGTGGACTGGGAGTATGTGTGCGAGGAGGAAGGAAGATTGGAATTCAAAATAAATAGTCAGGGCAGGTCTCATTCAGAAAGGAACACATGAGCAAAGGCTTGAAGAAAAAGTGCTCAGCCTTGCAGATACCCAAGGATACAGGGAGAAGCGGCAGTGCAAATCTGTAACCGAGTGTGTGCCTGATGTGTTTAGGACTGGAAGGGAGTTACTGTGAGTGGTGCAGAGCAAATGAAAGACAGAAGTGTTGGAGGTGAAGTCGGGGAAGAAATGGGGATCCAATGTCATGCAGTACCTTGTAGGCCACTGAAAGGAGTTTATAAAACAAAATCGAAATCCTACCTCCAATCAATCAATCAGACTCTTTGTTTATTTGCACATCTGTGCCCTAGTAAAGGTAAGCCCTACAGAGCCAGAGAGCAGAACTCTAGAAGAATCTTGGTTGGTTACTGCTACGCCCTAAGAAGGGAAGTAGTTCAATTTCAAGCTCATTCCTGTTGGCCTAAACCTCCCAATATGGAAGAATAACAAACTAAGCAACACTGACTTTAAAACATTTTTCTTTCTACTTGCTGTTGCTTTGCTCTCTCCTAGGTCTAGTTACCGTAACTTCTGTAAAATAGGGAGCCAGAATATACACAGGTGGGCTAGTTGGCTAGGCAAGTACATTACGGGAGTACAGAACCATCAGGCCCCCCGAAGGCCACCAGTCCTAACACTGAGCTAGGCAGGGCAGGACAGCTGCAGCAGGACTCACCTTCTGAGAGCATGCTGGTTATGTAGACCCCGCGCAGGGAGGTTACATTGGTAAAGTCCGTTTCTCCACCTGTGGTAGTGTAGAGGTGTCGGTCCAAAGACTTGGAATAGACAATGCCTCGATCATCGGAGGTAAAGATTGTGCCAAATCCGGTGTCTGAAGCGGGTAAATAAACAACCCTAAGTCTTAGTAAGGAACAGGGACAAACAACAGTCTAGCTATGCACGACTGACTGGGCCAAATCATTTACCCAAACAGCTGTCTCCATGATGGAGACCCAGTCCTAGGAGTTCATCAAGGTCTGATATCCAAGACCTTTATGTCCAACTTTGGCTCTAGCACCCTGCTTACTGTCTGAAACGTGGGAAATGCTGTATATGGAATGAGTTACTCAGATGCCACAGAAAAGCTCTTCCCAGATATATTTTGCTGGCAGAGGCATTATATTTAGAGTTATATTTTACACATTTCTAGATCCTTATACTCTAGAATAATGTTTCTAAACTATCTGTGGTGACGGTTCAAATTTAAAATTTCTAAGATGTCATAAATTGATTCTTTTATAAAATATAATTATCATAAAAGAATTAAAATACATCATGTACAGGTATAATGTCTCTATGGTGAATGTGATCCTTATGTATATCTAAAATGTAACAGTAAATTAGAGACTTAAAAATAATCACTAGAAAAATGAAATAGAAAAGATAAACAAAATATATGCCCTCAATGTATTATCATTAGATTCAACAGATATAAAATTACTTTGTGAAATGGCTGAGTTTCTAAATGCTCTGAATTCCTTTACTTACCTGATAACAGCAAATCAATCGCAGTCCTGCCAATACTGTAGACTATTCTGAACAGCTCACTTCTAGAACACTTGTTCTAGAACTCATAAACCATAGCAACCATCAAAAAGAGTGGCCCTTTTAAAGAGTTAACACAGCCAGGCATGGTGGCACATGCCTGTAATCCCAGTACTTGGGACGCTGAGGCAGGAAGACTGCCATGAGTTCAAGGCCAGCCTGGACAACACAGTCAGTTCACGGCCAGCCTGAACTACAAAGCAAGACTAAAAACTAAAGTAGCAACATATTATCTTAGGATCAATAGGGTGCTAATAAATCTCCAGAAGTGAAAGGAAAAGTTGACATATAAAAAGGAAAGTTTAAAGCTTAAATCTCTACGCATTCAAAGGCTAAAAGACTCTTACCTCCAGGTTCATCTACATGCATGAACACCATGTCGTCATTAGCTGCCAGAATAGAATAGAACTGTTCCTGTCCCACAGAAGGAAGCTGGGCCATGCTCCATGTGTCCCCTTGATCTGTGGACACGTGGATCCTTCTTGTTGTATCCTAGAAAAATAGGCCAACATCTATCTTAAAATTTCTATTCATCTCCCCAGTGGGTACAACTGCAAGAAAGGTCACAGTATCAAAGCAATTTCTAATTCCTTCCAGGTTATGGAACAACCCATTCTACTAGAAATAAAGCTGTCTTGGCTTTCTCTTCGATTTATTCATTCTGATGATGCTCCAAATCTCTGATATCCCATCTCCTTCAGGAGAGCTAAGGATCTGATGGGACCATCATTAGCTTAGCTTTACAGTTATTAGCATATACTTACTCAGGTAATTCTCAAAATGATGACGGCTGAATAGAAGTTTGGTCCCTTTCAGACAGTCCTGGCATAACCCAAAGAATTAAATAATTAAATGAATTAGAAAGCAGAGATGAAATCCACGCTTGAGCCATCACAGAGGAGATGTGACACATCTTTGAGGAGCTCACAGAACAGCCAAGATGAGGGCAGCCTGCACGGGCTGGGAACAGGCCAAGGAAGAGTCTGGCAGTACTGCACGGAAATGATGAGGGAGTATTTGGTTGGCAGTAGGGTATATTACAAAGGCAATTAAAGCCCACTCTCTGATATACAGTTTCTGTTTCTGAGACAGGGTCTTACTACTTCAACCTCGCCACACAGCCCAGGCTGGCCTCAAACTGACAATCCTTCTCAACTACAGGTATGTGCCACCGCACCTGGATTGATAGCTAGTTTAAAAGAGCTACCACATACGGTTAGCAGCGCATGAGAATTAATCTCTGGCTTCTTTAGGTTAAATACTCTTTAAAATTCAGTGATATTTATTTACTTAACTTTTAGTGAGATGCCTCATTGCTGTGTATTTTATTCTCACTGTTAGAGATAGAAACTAGAATTCAAAAACACTTGGCAGAAATTTTTTTTTAACAGATAGCAGCACAGGAGTCTCAGGAGGCTACCTCTGGAATCTGACAGTCGGATTTCCACCAGGGCACTAGGTGTCACCACTGGGTGACCCCAAGCAAGTCACTCAACGTGCTCACTTACAAACCTAATATTTAAGTATTAGCTCACAGGGTGTTGGGAGGATTATTACAAAACTGCTTGGCTTGTCTGTCCTTACTGTGCGACTTCTTCATCTCCAGTTCTCTTCCAAAACCCGCACTCAGTCTTTTAACCTCGCTCCTCCAGTGACACTGCTTTTGTTAAGGTCACCAACAACCTTGCTTTGCCGACTCCCACAGGCAATTCTCAAAACTCATCTAACTCCACATCTTGCTTGAGTTTACTAAAGCGGATCACTTCCTCCTCCTGAAACACTGTCTTCCCTTGTCCTCTGTGGTACCACGCTGGCCTGATTTGCCTTTACCTCACTGCTCCCTCCCTTTCCAGTCTTTCCCAGATTCTTCCCTTTCCAACTTTCAGTGCTGTGGTGCTTCAGGGCTCCCCCAACCCTCTCATCTCTCCTCTACCTGCTCACTGCTCCTGAAGAAACCATCTAGTCTCCTGGCTTTAACTACCATCTAACTTTGTGAGATTCATACACTCACATGCTTACTCGACACATCCTCCTAGATGTCCTGTAGACACCTCATACCCAGTTTGAAATTCTAGCTTTTTCTTTCACGAATCTACTCATCTCGCAGTCTTTGCCATCTCAGAAAATGGCAATCCCAACCATTGAACAGCTCAGGCCAAAGACTCTAACGTTATCCTTTCACTTACTGTCTCACAGTGCACTGTTTTTTGTCTTTTTTTTTTTTGTTTTTTTTTTGAGACGGTCTTGCTAAGCAGTTTAGGCAGGCCTCGAACCCCTGATACTCCTGCCTCAGCCTCTTGAGTGCTGGGATTACAGGCGTGTGCCACTATGCTCAGCTCACAGTGCACATTTAATCTGTCAGCAAGTCCTATTAGCAATATATTTGAAAATGTATCTACAATCTCACTACTTCTCCCCTCATCCACTGTTAACAGCTGCTCCCACCCACCATCTCTCTCTTTCCCTCCTTCCCTCCCTCCCTCCTTCTCTTTCTGCAGCGGCAGTAGCCTCCCAACTGCTACTCTGTGCATATTCTACTGAAAGGCAAGCCAAACCACATCACACCCTGCTCACAACCCTTTCACAGCTCATCGACACATAAAGAGTAAAATCCAACATCTTTATTGTGACCGGGAAAGGCCTTGCATGATCTGGCTGCTGGCTCCCAGTCTGGTTCACCCAGGAACATTCTCCCCTGTGCTCCAGCCACACTGCCCTTCTCCCCTTTTCTTCAACAGAGGTACACGCTCCAGCCACGGTGTCTGTCTGTGTGCTGGCTGTTCCTCACCCAGTTGCCCTGCTGGATGTCCGCATGGTCATGCTCTCATTCCACGCAGGTCCCTGAGAGCCCACCTACCCGACCTTTCTAATTACCCTGCCTCAGTTTCTATCACTTTGTTTCCTCCCACTGCTTTAGATTGCTTCACAGCTTTAATTATTACCTCTTACACTTACTTACTCAGTATTTATTCCCCATTTGAAAATAAGCCTTGCAAGCAGGAAATTTATCTATTTTATTCACTGCTGTATTTCAGGGACCTAGAATAGTAGCAAGTATATAGTAGTCAACTTGTGTTACACATGTTTATTTTTATTACTTTTATTGGATACTGCACAGAGACTGTTTTTTTTTTTTTTTTTTTTCAGATATCTACAGAGTCAAGCCCAAACTCTGGGTCTCCAAATCCAAAATCCAAAACCAGATTTCACACGGTGACAAGGCTACAGGACAGAGTAACCCACGAGGTCAATGAGCCTCAGTAAAAAGAATCACCGCAAACCTTGCAAGGATAGTGAATACTGCAAAAAGACAAGGAACTGTCAGTATAAAGCAGTAAAAGGGATATCTACAAGGCACATTTACAGAGATACGAGACCCCAAAGCAAAGCAACTACTACTTACCTTATCAGCCATCACAGAGGCAAAAAGGAAACGTCCTCCAAGACCAAATGAGTAGATTTTCACACCAATGGTTTTGAAGGTTTTCCCTAAGTCTGAAGTTCTCCATAATTCCAGGGCTCCAAGGTCAGCTTCTTAAACAAGACAAAATATTAATTAAAATTTCATTTATTGATGAATCTAGTTCAAAACAGTTGCTTTACAATTACTCTTCATTTTATAGCAAACACAGTTTTAATCCTTTGTATACTGATCAATAGGGCATCAGATACAGGGAATTGACATTTGGGTTTTAGTTTACAAAAGTGAGATTTTATTTTGGATGGAAATATAGAGTTCTCTTAATTCCAATATAGTGTTGCATAAAATAGCACAACCACAGAATATAACTTTCTTCATAGTACACCTTAAAATTATCTTATTCTATTTTAAATCATCTTGTTTGAGTTTTCACTTCCTTGTTTGTTATCAAACACTCTTACTGGAATTTATGCTCCATGGGCACAGGCCTTGGGTATTTTGTTTTTTCTACCTTTAGAACAGTGTTTAGCATATAGCAAATATTCAGACATTTACTGAATGAATAATGAAAGATTTTGCTTTGAAATTGTGCCACAGACTGGGAATCCCATGGTTCCAACCAACACAAACATCATTGATGCTCTTGCAGAAATCATCATACTTTTAAATTCATAATTAGTCTAATATTTGCTTTATATAAATATATTGCTAAGATTAAGTATACTGCCTCCCTGAATAGCCTATATTTTTATTGAGTCTGGACACTGTGTAGTAAGTAATGCAGTTGTCCTTTCAAAATTTCAAAAATCATTAACAGGTATCTTTAGTTCAGGAGAAGAAGAGATCTTTTGTTTCTACCCTGCATGACCCAGAACAATGCACCACGAAAGAACAGCACAATAATCTTTTCTGGAACTAAAATATACTTACTGCAGGAGCCATTCACATAGGTGGTAAAGAAGATGGTATTTTCTGATCCCCTACAAAGAGGTAAGGACAGGGAAAAGAATGCTTTAAGACTACTACAGAACGTGTCAATATTGGTCACAAAGCCCCTGGGATGTCTAACAAGCCTCATGCATTGGTGCCAGCTGACACAGCCTTCTCAGGAGCTATGCACCTGATTCTCCCATGGCCTATCAGTCAAGCTCCCACAGCCTGATCCCATGCATCTTCTACAGTCCACTGCTTCGTTACATGACCTTTTCAACAGGTCACACTGGTCTCCAAATCTGCCTGTGTATTGTACTGCTTCCCCCAAAACACTTTTCTCCCATGTAACCAAACTGTACTCTCATAGTTTTCTGGTTCCAGCTTAAAATCTAGCTTTCTTGTGAAGCTTTCACTGGTCATTCTAATGAAGCTTTTGTGCTGCAAACTTCTAGAACAGTGGCTTCTCAAGCAGGGGTGATTCTTCCAGGGGACACTTGGCAATGTTTGGAGACATTTCTAATTGTCACAACTGGGGCAGTCAGGAATCATTAATAGCATCCCGTGGGTACAAGCCAGGGATGCTGCTAAACATCTTACAATGTCCAGAACAGCTCCTTCAATAACAAGTTACGCAGCCCAATATGTTGTTAGTGATCAGGCTGAGAAATCCTGTTATGCAGCAGTCCCTTTTGGTGATTTTTTTTTTTTTTTTTTTGGCCTTTTTGAGACAGGGTCTTTCTGTGCAGTTCAGGCTGGCCTTGAGCTCACTTTGTAGCCCTGGGTGGTTTCAAACTTGCAACGATCCTCCTGCCTCAGCCTCCTAAGTGCTGGGATTACAAGTGTGCACCACCATGCCTGGTTAGCGTTCCCTTTCTATACTAGCCACTTGACATTCACTGGCCTCCCATTTAGTTATTTTTGCATAGTGTGCAACCTATCTCTCCTACCACAGGCACTGGCTTCTTCAGGTCAGGCCCTAATATTTATTCTTTGTTATTTCACCTCAGAAGATAGCTTAATGCTTTGAATCACCCAAATAATTTAGTTCTTTCATATCAAGTAGACAACTAGGCAGAAGTTGAATTATTTAAAATGTAACCAGGAAAGGGAGTTTTCAGAGAACAAGATTCAGATTCTGAGAGTGCTTAGGTGCTGAGTTTGAACATGTTCTTTCAGTACTTTAGGTTCTAAATTCCTAAAAATCAAAGATCTAAAAGGTGAGCAGAGTTACCACTGATCAATTATATTTAGTGTAAAATAATGTAGTATTATAAAAGTAAAAAGCCTTGTATAGGATGCAAAATAAAGCACCATTTGAAAATAACTTTCATTTTTAGAGGTGAACTTTAATAATCAAAATTATTATAGTCTTACTTAAACACATCCTACATATTTTAGGTCCACCAGGAGTGAAATGATTTGTTAACTTAGTTACCTTAAAAATTACTTCCTTGCTGATAAGCTCTTCATGGTACAAATATACTTCATGAAAATACATAAAAAGAAAGAAGATATGGCAAGTGTACCACAGGGATATTATGAAAACTTCATTTAATGAGCATTTCTGGAAAATACCCAACTTATTTAAGTAACATATTTAATATTTTAATTAATTTTGACAGATACAGTTCAAACCTATATTATGTATTTCCTGATTTCCCAAGTTGAGCACATGAAACTCTTAGGTTTACAGGTCATCATTATGAACACTGATCATATCAAAGCACCATACAGTGTTCCCATTAGAAGTTACTGAAGTATGTTTCCTTTTTTTATCTAACACTAAGTGATTTCATACTTGGTCATACTTGTGGGTGAGTAAAGCGTTGGTGGTACCGCAGTTATATATCTAGGCCAAAGTAAGATAGTATCATGAAAGTAAAACACCTTGTATAGGATACAAAATTAGACACCATTTGAAAATGTTTCACTTTTTTCTAGAACTCAGTGATTTTATATGCTGTTTCTGTCTGTTCTTTTATAATTTTTCTCCCTTTTTCTAACTCTCACGCTGCAATTCTAGCGCTGTTATGTGTTTGTCGCTAGCAGCCATAGAATAGATCTCTGGCGAAATCTGCTATAAACTGGAAATCAGATTAACAAATTTGTCCCATTAGTGGAAAAAAAAAAAGAAGACCCTGAGCAAGGGTCTGAGCCTAATAAGAATTTTGGAGGTATGAAGGCTGTTAATTTTTGTTCAACCACCGCCTCCTTATAGCCCCCAAACCACAGAAAGAAAAACTAAAGCCCAGAGAGGTTACGCTAGTGACTAGCAGCACAACCAGGTTAGAACCAAGGTGACCAGACTCACAAGTCAGAGCTCCCTCCACACCATCATCTTCAAGCAGGCACCTGACAGGCAGGGCATCCTGTCCAGAGAAGTGAGTTTCCGTGTATGGACAGTGCGACTCTGGCAATCTAGAAGCTCTTTCAGTTTTCTTCCTGATTCCTCACTCTGCCTACATAACTGAAATGGAGTACTAGACAAAGGAGTGTAAGTCTTGGTGCACAGACATATTTAAGTCCTCAAATTAAAGCTGTATTTTATTATGTGCTGACTGATGTCACCAGACACAGAGAATAAATCTTCTTCAGGCAGCAGCACTCAGTCAGACGCCTTTGCTGTACTCTAACATTTACTGAGATCAAGCCTTCTTTTCTAGCGTAAGTAGAAGTACCTCTAGGTCAAGATCTGTGTCAGACTCCTCTCTTATATCCCTTATGGCACCCTGAAGAGCAAGTACTTGGCACACAGTATGTGCTCAATATTTATTCATGTGACTTTTGGCAGTACTATAAGGAAAGGTTTAGGGCTCTGCACAGATGGAGTCTTCTGTTACTCACCATTTGGCCAAACATACTGCTTTGTGGATTTCTTCCCATTTTCCCCCAAAATTCTTGGACACCCACAGGCCATTCTGAAAGATTATAAATGACTTATCAAAATTCCAGCTTTATCCTGTGCAGCTGCTTGTTTGACCTTTAATAATTCATATTCAATCATTCAGGACTGTAAAAACACACACTGAGGTTCCATCAGAGCTGCCTGAACTCCACAGACACACACATGGTTTATTTGGGCCCATTCAGGACCTTTGAAGTTTGGAATAACAAATGTATATAAAGTGCCCACTATGTGCCAGGTACCATATCAGATGTTGCACTGGGCATACAATGATGAATAAGACACGCTCCCTGCTCTCAAGGACCTCACAGTTTAACAAGGGCCACAGATGAGAAGGAAGTTCAACACCATGTTACGGAAAAAGTCTAGTGTAGACATAGGGAGAGGAAGTCTTTTGCATCCTGAAGAAGACAGCTGCACTGACCCTGAGATGACGAGCAGTGTAACCAAAAGAAGGTAAGCAGGAGACGAGGTGCTACAAAGAAAGGCTAGTACTAGCAAAGGTAGGGAGGTGATAAAATACTATAGTGTCTGCAAGAAAATAAAACCCATTATACATTAATGGAGCACAAGTTCCAAGGTGAGAAAGTGTGCAGTTAACGCTTGGGAGAAGGTAAGGTGGAAAGCTTTCCTTCAAGGCCAGGCTGAGGAGTCTGGTTTTTACCATATAAAAGGCATACTCAGGAAAGTGGTACAAAAAGGACAATGACAGAGTTTTAATTTTTTAGTTGGTATACTTGTATAAGAATAGGAAATATATATTTCAAAGAGTTCTAACTAGGATAAGCAGCAAATAAGTGCCATGTTATTAGTTCAGTAAGAGTTAATGAAGTCCTGGACTGGGGCTTTGAGGAATAGGATCAGCAAGGATTAACAAGCTACAGTACGACTGGGTGACTTTTCTATTGTGGAGCAGGACGGGTGGGCTGTGTGTGTATGCACATGCATGCGTGTCTCAACCTCTGTTGGTTTGCACTGGGGTATGACACATAATGCATCAACTAGAGTTAGGGTTCAGGGAAGAAGAGCATGGCTGACAGAAGAGAGGAAAGAGGCTGAGTTTTGGATTGAGTCTGAAGTATCTATGGGGCACCAAGTTAGACATAATAACCATGAGCAGCAAGATAAGCAATTTCATGCCTTACAGGAAGTCAGGGCTAGAGATAAGGATTTGAGAATCTACAAACAAAGAGTGGAGGAGACTGACCAGAGTGAAATGAGCGTGGGCCACATTAAGGGCAAATCAAAAGGAGTTTAAGAAACCAAGAAGGAATGGCCAGGAAGGCAGAATAAACAAAGTGAATGATGTCACAGAACCAAGCAAGTGGAATGTCCCAAAGGAGGGACTGAATACTTTTGCATACTCTGAAATGCAGCTGGCTTAATAACATGAAGACCGAACCATGTCAGTTACATTGGCGATATGCACTCACTAAGCTCGGAATTATGGAGACGGAACTGAGAGATCAAGGTACGGCTGAAATTCAATGGGACCAATTTAGGCAGCATTACCCCTCAGTGTTCACCCATTCTCACCCGCCATTCTCCTTTAACTTCCTCTGCTCGGTAATATCCCTTATCCCACCACTTTTAATTTACCTAGTTCTACGTACAAGCACCAGAGAGGGTCTGTTATCACTTATTTATACTTCAGTCTAAATTGGTCCATCTTGTCCATCCCAATTATTTATATTTAAAATCTACCCTTAATTGGAAGACATTTTCAGGCAGAAGAGCAGATTGTGCCTGTCCATTCTCAAACTTAACCCACTTGGTAATAGCAATGAGGTGGTTGAAGGGGAGATGTATGGTTTTGTCCATTTCAGTGGAGGTCTCCTGGCTCCCTTTTGCAGGGCCTTCAGCTCAAACTGCTACAGGCTAATTTTTCTAAGACCTGAATACTACCTGTCAGCATGCGGCCCCGCCCCCAGGCCACTGCAAGCTATTTTCCTTTTTCCGTTCTCCACTGGCTAAGCATAAGGACTCTGCTGTAGTGCCCCCCAGCCACACCTCTGCTCAAACATCTTCCCACAGAAGGTCCAGCACCCAGACCTTTCTTCCCATGCCTTCACCTCCCCGCCGGCAAGACACACTTGCTTAGCCTAACTGGTCCACAGCTGATGGTTTTGTTTCTGTCCCCAGTACAGGCTACACAATGGCTTTCAAATTTTAGAGCACAGCCCCACCTGGGGAGCTTGTTAAAAACACAGCTGCTCTACACACAAGTGACTAATTCGTTATATTTGAATTGAGACCTGGGAAATTTCAGTTTAACTAGCTTCTCAGGTGTTTCTATTTGCTGCTGCTGCTCAGCAGACCATACTAAGAAGCTTGAAGAGAAAAGCCGCATAAATCTAAAGGGTAATTGTGACCATCACAGTGACCATTCGGCCACTTTGGGCCCCTAACTCCATGACAGGAGACCCGTCCTCCAGGAAAGAAAAAACAAATGTGCTCCTTGAGGAACTTTTAGAGAGGCAGGATGGTTTGGTAGGGACACGGGTTTCTGGGGAAGGTACAGGAATGTGGTAAGAAGTGCAGAGATTTTGGATATCTAATACAGAAATCAGTATGGTTTATATACTGAGGAATTCAAAGGAAAGAAAAAATAAAGATGGTTTGGCCATGGGAAAGGAATAACAACAATATCAGGAATTTGACAATTTATACTTATCCCTCAAATGATTACTTTCAACTATTTTCTATCTCCTTACTCCAATAGCACACATTTATTCACATAAATAACTACGATGACTACACATCACACTTACCTGGAAAAGAGAGCATACAGAAATTGTAGCCTTTACCAAATGGGAAAACAATGAAAAAAATATGCTTCATGTGTAAGGAGACTAGAAAGAAGGCCAACATAAAAGCATTCTCTACAGAATCCTTTTAAGACAATACATTTTGAGACTATAAGTAAGTAAAGCAAATTCCTCAACGAGACTTACTTCAGTGCTGAGAGCTAAAAGGTAATCAGAATTCTGAGGGCTATACATCATCTGAGTCAGAGGATGGAAAGGGAGATCTGTCTGCACAAAGTTCTTTGCAAAATCTGACGACCTGAAGATTCTTCCTCCATGACTTCCCCCAGATACCTCTGCTGTTAATATCACCTGATCAAGAAAGGAAATGTCAGATTTAGCACAGAAAGCTCTTGCACCATTTTTACCAGATATTAGTCATGAAAATTTTAGTTCCCAAAGTAAGAACAGTTACAAATACTGATTAGTTGCTTCATTCTACTCCTCAAATCTCAGTCTTATCAAAATGTATCAACCTGAATTAAGCTATGCATCAAACTTGCAGTTTTGAGCCTGGTCATTCTCCCAGAAGATTTAAATGTTATCACAGGGACTACATATTGTGGCGCTAAACAACTGTCTCATAAGTATGAAGGGTTTTGGTACATTTCGGCCAGAGACCAAAAAATGGAAATCTGTGTGCTGAATTCCATTCTTTTGGGATCAGTATTAAATAAACTACATTTAATTTTCAAATCCAGCAATACTATGAACTAAAATAGAATACTGTGCACAACCGGTTAATTCAAGATTAACACCCAGCAGCCCTGCATGTGCCACTGAACACCAGCTTCCCACATGTAGCAGCCTCACCTTTCCAGAATTCTCGGGACCAATTGCCATGCCAAATTCAGTACGAATGAAGGTGTTATTGATGAGATTTGTAATATCCTTAAAGTTTTTTCCATAATCTTCACTGAAGGGAAGAAAAAAAAGAGGCAAATTTAGAGTGCAGTAGTCATGGATACTAGATTCCCACTCAGCTTCTACTTCCCTTTTTTTTTTTGGTTTTTCTCCGGTACCGGGAACCGAACTCACGACCTTGCGCTTGCCAGGCAGGCGCTTTGCCGCTGAGCTAAATCCCCAGCCCCCTCTACTTCCCTTTTCATGATGTTTTCCAGTGAAGGCCTCATTAGTGTGGGTCACCGGCTCAGGAAAGAGAAGTGACTAGGTTGAACCAATGAGATAAAACTCAAGCCAGCTTGAGTGGAGAGCTCCACTAAGTGAAGTCAAAGGCTTCCTCACTAATCCATTAATCCACCATACTTATGATAAAGCTGTATGTTAAATAAAAAGTGTCTTGAATTTTTCCTACTGGCACAAGTTTTTAATGTATGTAGCACATAAAATACAACTACCAACCTCAGCTCTTGGTTTCTCAAAACTTTTCTCAAAAGTTCATTCCAACAATATCTTTGAGAAGTATTTTAATCCATGTTTAGATTTTGAGAAATAATAAATAGCAGCAGCTATCTGCTCTTGACAGGATTATTGCTACATATTGCCCTTTTTAAACATTTTTATTTTTAAAATTTTTACTAGGCATGTTTATCGTATATTCATTGTGGGGAGCTGGTACATGTACTTAACACATCTTAATACTTTTTACTTCCCCTTTCTTTCCCTGTCCTCCCCCCACACATGACACAGAATGCTAAATCTTAATATGTATTAAATTTAAGTATCCATCCATGAAGACCACTGTGCACTGCAGTAGTTACCCAGTGATAAACACAACCTTCAGGGGACTTCACTGATAGAATTTATGACTTAAAAAGATCACACAAGTTTTGGTAGTAGCTTCAACAGAGAATGGAGAATGATAAAACATGAGAGATGCAAGGAACAGAAGAGAGTATCTTTTCCAAACTCCCTTATGTCTGCAAGGGCAGAAATCTTATCAAAAGCCAAGTAGTTAATTAAAGACAGAACTGAAACCACAGCCCAGTTCTCTTAATTCTCACCCCTAAACTAGAGACCACTTTCAACTATTTGTCCTCACCATTAGTTTTTTTGCTTATAACCTATGTTTTTCCTCTCTCTCTCTCTCTCTCTCTCTCTCTCTCTCTCTCTCTCTCTCTCTCTCTCTCTCGGCAGAGTTCGTGATCTGGGAAGACAGATGAGCTAAGAAGAAGCTGGAGACAGGGGGGACATGTTGGTGCCTTTCTGTACAGGTCCCTAAGAGTACGCCAAAGCACATTACACGTCTTTAAGATGACTCCTCCCCTCCCTTAGCACAAGCACAGAGAAATTTTCTAGATAAATAAAACAGGGTCTGGGCACCACCCAACAGATTCCTATATTGCTTATCTTTGGCTTTGGAATACAAGATTAGTTCTTATCTTCCTGACAGCCAGCAAAAGATGTGCATCAATTCCCAGTTCTGCAGGGCACACACGTCTTCCAAGGGGGTTGCAGCAGCTTGATTATCACTGGTTTACAAATCTCCCCTCCTTCATGACATCCCCAGGGAACTCAACAAACCTGTTGGCAAGCCTGCTTGCTTTTTAAGAACTTGGCACAAAAAACATATCCCTGCCCTTCAGAAAAAGCAACATGAGTAAAACAAAAAATCAACTGGTATTTTAGCCAGTTAAATACATGGAGAAAATGGACTTGCATCACCTGCTGGGAGTTAAGTAGGATTGTTTCAAGGCTGTTTTTGTCCTAGAGAGATACAGCATTTTAACATGGGACTTTGTCTAAACATAACTTTATTTTTCCATGAGCATACACATGACACACATTACGAAGAGGAAATAAAACATCTTGAAAACTATACCTACTTTTCAAACTCCCTATAACAATTAGTGGAATCATAAATAGTAGTCAAATGATAAGCTAACAATTGAAGTCATATGCTTTAGAAATAAGTCTTTGAAGGAGGCACCAAGATGGCAGAGTGGTAAGCAGCCGAGAAAGAGCCTCTCTGAGAGTTGCCATCCAGACACTGGAATACAGCAATGTGAGGCAGACAGGAAGGAGGGAAGTGGGTCCACTGGACCCAGGAAGGATCTGAAGCATGGAGGTCATTGGCAGCTCCTTCTCTCTGAGACAGGACTACACGAGACGAGTGGTTCCAACCTGTGGACGCCCAGCGACTGCTGGCAAACACAGAGACCTCCACGGAGAGATGCAGCAATGGAGGGGAGCAGCAGATGTGAAGTACTGCACTAGCTGAGAGTGAGTGCTGAGGGCTCAGTTGTGCCATGCAAGAGAGTGACTGGGGCCGGGAGCCATCTTGGAGAGAGGTTGGCTGAGCTCAGAATTCAGTGTCTGCTGGCTCTATTTAGGGGCTGCCAGCTGAGCTCAGGCCCACAGAAAGTGTGCTGATGGCTGCAGGCTGAAGAAGTTTGGTTTCGGCCAGAAGGTACAGGATTGTTGAGATTATCCACTACCTCACCAAAAAGCTATTACTGGCTTGCTGGGATAGACTGGAATGGATTGGGACTCTGTCTCCACATATTGTCTACCAATGACAGCAGAGACATACCTGGAAGTGGGACTTTTTTTTCCTCTCCCTTGTGTTTTGTTGTAGTTGTTTTATTTTTTTCTCCTTCATTGTTTGACCTTGTTTTTATATGTGGTTTCTAGCCTCTTTGTGATTCTTGTTCTGTTCTTCTTTTTATCTCCTCTTTTTCCCTCCAGTCATCTGCACCAGTTTCCCAAAGTTAACGTGATTCCCCCTTTGTCCTCCAGCCTTATTTCTAATCTCTTCTTCTACCTTTCTATTTTTTTCTCTAGCCCTTTTAAAATTTTAAACCCTGAGTGTAAAATGGACATATTAAGGGCTTATACACTGCATATAATTTTTTGGTCTGTTTTAGATTTGGTTGTGTAACAATAACCACAAATAGGGGGCTGGGGATTTAGCTCAGCGGCAAAAGCGCCTGCCTGGCAAGCGCAAGGTCATGAGTTTGGTTCCCGGTACCGGAGAAAAACCAAAAAAAAAAAAAAAAACAACAAAAAAAAACAATAACCACAAATCTAGTTCATACAGTTAAAGGTGGCAAATTAATGGTTACCTTAGTTTGTCATTTTTTAGGCTGTGATTGATTCTGTTATTGCTGATGGTACCACTTTAGCCAAAAGTGACACAAGTGTTCTAAACAGCTATTCTTCCTGGTATTCCAAGACTGAGATTGACTATGGGTCACAGAAAATACTGTGGCACAGTACCAAAGAACCAGGGGCTGGGACAAACAGGCAGAAACTTCTCATCCCCAGCAAACTGACGATGTAGGATCTTGCAACAGACTCAAAATCCAAAAACCAGTTACACCTGGAAGATACCTTGGAGAAGTAGTCATTTCCTGAGTTCTAAATACTAGCAATAAAGCAACCCATCATAGGCAATTTACAAGCATCACCTCAGGAATTAAACCACAAAAAAGAAAAGAAAATGAGAAAACACATAAAAAGATGCATGCCCAGACATCCAGTTCACCAAAGGCAAACCCAAGAGAAAATGAGGTGGGACAATCTGAGAGCCTCCCACCTGGCTTCTCTGAATGGTAACAAAGCATTTGAATGAGGTCCTAGAAAAAAATCAAATCAGAAATAATTTTTCAGATAACTGCAGAGATGGTGTCCATAATGAAAACCAGGCTTAGTGACTCTAGAGCAGATTAAAAAAAAAAAAAAAAAAAAAAATAGAGGAGCTTAAGAAAATTATGGAAGGCTGGGGATATAGCTCAGTGGCATAAGTGCCTGCCTGGCAAGCTCGAGGTTTTGAGTTTGATCCCCAGTACCGAAAAAAAAAGAAAAAAAAAAAGAAAAGAAAATTATGGAAGCCATGAATGCTCAGCATAGGAAAGAAATAGAATCCATAAGGCAGATTCAAGCAGATATCCAAGAAAATAAAAATTCCATTGAAAGTATTTGCAGCAAGTTAAGCCAATGTGAGGACAGGATCTCAGATATAGAAGACAGGCTTGTGGTTATCCATCATAAAAAGAAAGATTTCTTAAAAATAGCAAGGGACCATGAGAAACCAATCCAGCAGCTACTAGATAAGGCAAAGAAGAATAACTTAAGATTGATTGGAGTAAATGAAAAAACAGGAGATAGCACAAATGATATAAAAAACCTGTTCACAGGCATCATGGCAGAAAACTTCTCTGGTAGGGAAAAAGAATTTGACATACAGTTAAGTGAGGCATATAGAACTCTAGTTAGTCATGATAAAAAAACAAAACAAAACTATAGCCAGGCATACTGAGATTCTAAAAATTCAACACAAGAATAGAATCTTAGAAGCTGTTAGGGAAAAGAAACAAACCACCTATAAAGGAAAGCCCATCAGACTCGTAGCTGACTTTTCAGCACAAACTCTCAAGTCCAGAAGGGCTTCAAGTGAAGCATTTCAAGTTCTAAAGGAAAACAACCTTCAACCCAGATTGATGTACCCTACAAAACTATCTTTCAAAACTATGAGAAATAAGATATTCCATGACAAAGAACATCTGAGGAAATTTATGACCACTAAACCAGCACTCCAAAATGTTTTGAAGGACATTCTAGAAAGAGATAAAGAGGACTACAAGTCCATGAATCCAGACAGAAAGAATCCACCAGGCAAGGCAAACAAACAGAGGGAGGGAAAAAAGTGGGGAGCCAACAACAGGAAAATGACATGACAAGGGTAAGTCAATTCATATCACTTATAACCATCAATGTTAATGGTCTCACTTCACCAATCAAAAGACACAGACTGGCAGAATGGATCAAGAAGCAAGATCCAACAATATGCAGCATACAAGAAACACATTTAATTCAAAAAGAAATTCATAGACTGAAAGTCAAAGGATGGAAAACAATACTCTATGTGATAGGAACCCAGAAAAAGGCAGGGGTAGCTATTCTATTTGCAAACAAAGTGAATTTCAAGCCAAGACTGATTGAGGGAGATAAAGA